ACTCTAGACTAATCGAGCAGATATATCCTCGCATTTGTGCGTCCTTTATCGCTCAATCATGTCGTCGGAACATGGCTGACAATCCAATGAGGTCTTAAGGACGAGGTCCGTGGTTTTAGCTCGCGGGCACATGGGACAAAAGCTGGCCAGCCCACAGTGAGACTGTGGGCACAAAACACCGGAGATGAAGCACTGCGGCTCGGTCTATCGGTCATTTTTAGATCTTACATACGACCTGGAACCGAAACTTTATCCTGGTCTGCGCAAATGTAGCCGCACACCTTTGTGAGCATCACACAGGCCCTCGAGGCGAGTGTTGACGAAGATCGAGTTTAGGTGGAGTCGGAAGTTGTTGTGACAGTTGCAGCGAAAGCACCTTCTTGACCACCGAACTGTTCCTAAGTTTGGCATTATGGCGACGAAACGGATTCAGATCGCTAGCTTTGTTATCGAGCTTCTGGAGACAGGTATGCGACAAGGCTGCTCCGTGCCCGTGCTTCCGCATCCATGCCCGATTGTAGGTCCGTGCTCTGGTTGAGGCCCGGACGGACGGACAGACGGTCGGTCGCGCCACATGGAAAATCAGGATTTGTGTTCATGCCTTCCACTCACCAACGAGGACCTTACCGGATGCCAGGCCAGCTGATCGATGGGGTGAGTGTGTAACACCGAGCCACACACACACACACACACACAAATAAAGTAAACATCAGTTTGCACTCGAGTCCACCGGAATCATGTCATGCACTGAAATCATTCGTTCCCTCGAACTTGACGTGCTTGCGAAAACGAGACTGAGCGTCCGGGCGTTATGCATTCCAGGGCGGGGGACAAAGGCTGCCAAGGCCTCGCTCAAATCGCGACTCTTCGAGTTTCTCTCGCGATATTTTATCGAAGTCAGAAGAAAGTGGCCGATCGCTATTTCGGTCGATATTCCAGAATTATTCCTACCCGCTAGAGATTCAGATGATTACAGTGGTACTACACGACGGGGGCCGGACGGGCCGATCAGTTGTACCGAGAACGGAATCCTACTGAATCCGCCGAGTTGATGGTAGCCATAGACAGAAGAGGGTAAGGCCATCGCTCTCCTAGTCAAGTCAGCATTTTACTCTTCTAATTTTCTTCGCAGAATTGCAGCCCCTTTCGAGTACAGTACTTGGAGTGGAGTGGAGTGGAATGGAATGGAGTGGTTCTGTACCCAACTCCTCTTCCACGAGGAGGGTACTACCGAAGAATAGGAAATTAAGAGTGTCAATGTTGTGGTTTGAGCTCAATGCAGAGGAGAAAAAATAAAAAATATAAAAATTATAAGTGGTCGAGGTTTGGACATAGCGAAAGGATTTGAAGCCCTCGACGTTCAGGTAAAAGGATTAATTGTGTGGTTTTGAGGAACATGGTCCGGGTCAGTAGGCGACTGACTGATTGTCCAGCCATTCATTGGGCACATACGGACGGCATGGGGTTAGACAATGGCAAAATTGTCGGAATTTGTGAATCGAAGTTAGTTTTTACACCCTAGAGGCGACATGGCTCGTAACTAGTAGGTTGACACGGAGGGCGTCGCATGCACGAGTTCAGGCTGGGTAATTCGGTCGTGTTAAGTCTGATGGGAGCAGCAGCCACAATCTTCCTGTGCCCCGGCTCATGCAGCAGTAGAAGCAGCAGCAGCAGCTCACAAGAACGCACAGAGAATCGGACATTTGCATGAGATGCACTCAAAGGTGGACGTTATAATGAGAGAGGGGGCCCCCGCGAGGAGACAAGAGTCGGCTCCGAATTTGGCGGTCTGAGGAAGAGCATGAGGAGGGAGGGGGAGTTGCGGCATTAAGATTGTGGCGCTGTGCGGTGGCGTTCGCGTTCGGCCGAGGGAGCTTCTTGGAGCTTCTTTTGGAGGTGGGCGACTAATTGGAGCGAAGCTTGTACGAGGTGGAGCATGTGTGGGCCCGAGCGGGCGGTATGCCCTCAACCCACCGCTTCGGACTGCGGATGCGACCGGGCGACAGACGGGAAAGAAGGCCCCATTCCTGTCGACGGATCAAAGTCAACAGCGAGGGCCACGACAGGGCAGCGGTTCGGATATTGACGAGATTGCCAAATTAGAAACCCCAGTTGGTAGCCCTCAGCTCATCAACGCTCTCGATGTGCGCTGCAACTACCTACCGTTGCTTATCCACAGGAGAGAAAGCGAGCGAGAGTGGGAGAGTTGCGATGTGGCTCTCAAGGCCTTTGAGTTGAGCGACTCCGGTGTGAAAAAGTGAGAGCTTCTGCTTTTTCCACGCCCTTTCTACATCAGCTGCAGAATCAACAGGTGTGACCGGGACTGGCACCGGGACTGGCCTCACTCTCTCACTCAGCAGCATCCATGCATGCACACTGCTGCAGTGGATTAAAGATGTTCCACGGGGACATAAACGTAAACACCAACTCCCCTCTGCCAACTCCGTGGATTGGTCAGTGGGTTCGTTCTGGTTTAGGAGCCCGGAGACTCCCCTCCCCTGCCCTCCTCTCCTCACGACCCACAATCCACAACCCACTCCCAAACAATGCACAATGCAGGGGAGGGGAGGGTAAGGTAGAGCAGAGGACCAATCGGAGGAAAATTACCAGGGTCTCGGATTTCAGGCTGCATGCTTACGACTCCGGCCCTGCACTAATCAATGCTCGCTGTAGAGAGGCGGTCTGCAGAGGAAGCTGCACACGCATGAGAGAGGGTGAGATGATTCTCACTACGCGACTTTTAGGCTCGTACAGGCAGGCACATGAGCACCAGGGAGATGTTGTCAAGGGCTGGCTGGAGAGAAACCCAACCAGAGAGGGCTTTCGTTCATGGAATCATTGGTGTGTGGGACAGGCAGGGCTGCGTCCAGATTCCACAGCGAGCAAAGAAAGGCCCCCACTACCGGGATACAATCTTCTTGTCAGGAACGCTGACATTTGGTTTGTATGAACATTCTTGTGAGCCTTCCGGGCCTTAATTATGGATTCTTGACCATGCTTACGGTGTCAGTCAATCGTCAGTAGGAAGCCTGTCATGCACAAACATCGCAATACTGTAGTGGCAGTGCGCAGCATGCTTGCTTGCCTGCCAGCTACTTCGTCCCGGGGCCCATACTTGGACGTGACTGATTCTCGATCTTGTGGTAAGTGGGAAACCTGGGTTCCTATTATGTCTGTCTACCATTCACAAGTTCTTCAACGGAGGATTTCTTAATGAGGATTTCACCCGGGTCACATCTGAATCTAAGAGCAGCCAGCCACGCATGTGACGTTGGATAAATCCTACTCTTCCTGGACATTTGACCGGATCAAACAAACCATAGAAAGGAACCCTGTTCCCGGGTAAGGTTCCAGCTAATTTCGAGTTGAATTTTCTGCTCACATGACGTACGAAAAACGCTGGAAGGTGATGGGTCGATGGGTCTCTGCCAGGAATAGATTTCTCAAGGTTCCGAAGAAACGAGGACACGAGGTGTCAATCGGTAAGACACTTGCGAATAGAAAAACTCACGAGGGCCGCCAATCTCGGTGCTGAAAGGATCGACGATGGAGGCAGTGGCAATCCGGCGGAAGAAATTCGGGCCCGGCTATGTAAAAATCGAGGTCCGAGGCGGTAATCCATGAAACTGCGCGACCGAGTCAGTCTGGTGAAATCTCCTGTGAAGTAGGAGAGAAGGAGACGTTTGAGCTCATGCGGAAGAGTGTGCGGCCATCATTTCAGAAATTATGATGGGAAACAGGACTCCTATTCGCGGTCAACATCCTTCCGATCCGAGTGCAGAATTCAAACGAGAGAGGAGATGCTCACGAATCATGATCCGTCGGAGATAGTACAGATCACATAACGAGGGCGAGGACAAGGCGTGACGGCAAAATTGAACAACCTTGTAAAGCGACGGGGAGGAGGATAGCTTTCCAGTCGCGCATTACTTCAGGAAGCGATTCCTGTGGGAATGGTCGCAGTGCAGGGAAACATTTGCTATTGCAGTCACAGTGAGCGCGAGCGAGCGAGCGAATGAGCGAGAGCATGGGGCGTCCCGCCATGCTTGCCCTCATTCAAGTCGAGCTCCGGAGCGCTCGAGGGAGAAGAGAAGAGGGGGAGTGGGAGAGGGAGAGGGAGTGGGGCCCTCGGGGGACGGGTGCGCCATGAGTTCCTGCCCCGGGAGGAACTCAGTGTCGAGCGGGCTAACGACCGCGATCTCATCGTAAGAAGCTAACAAAGCCAGAATTCGCGAGCATGCCATGATGTCACTCGCAACGATCGATCACGTGTGATGGGGAAAGTCCGCTCGACCCGCATCCCGGCGGGTCTTCGCCATCACTGCGCTGTGCTCCTTTCGAGAGCATATCAGCCTACAGAATATTCCTCGGGCATAGGTCCGCCCTCCATGCCTCCCCGCCCTCGCTCCCTCTTCGTTGAGCGAGTCAAGCCAATCGCGGTGGCCGGCCCAAAGAATGCCAGAATAATGGCCCGACGCCGACGCTGCCTTGGTGTCATCGAGGTCCCAGGCCCGGGCGGGCAGGGGCGTCCATTAAAGCTCCATGCCGGCCAATCAGCGAGAGGCTGATATTTCTGAAAGACCACAGCAGCGGAACGGAATGGATGGACCCCAGCGGTCTAGACTCGTCGTAGCTGCGAGAAGGAAGAAGCCTAGCGCCAAAGAACGACAGAATATTGCGACCTGCGCGATCCGCCCTTCCGCCGAATGGGTGCCAGCGGGCTGGCTGACGCACGGATCGAAGGGCGGATTATGCACGAGTAGCGTTTTCGTAGGACACATCTCGAGTGAGTGAGAGTGAGATTGAGATTGAGAGTGATGCAGTGGTGCACTGCTCCGGTCCCTTCCGCAGACAAGTATGCCATGGTGATCGAGACTGGTACAAGTTTGGATTACAACTGTCTTTTTGATAAAGTAAATGTCAAGCTTGCCGATGGATTCCGTGTGAGACTCTGCCCTGGCTGTGCCTTCCGGGCCACAGCATCATCACTCGGCTTCCAGTCCGAGAGCTATAATTGTGATCTGAGCTGATCAGTCCGATAGCACCGTGACTGTGCTGTGCTGTGCTGTGAGCTTAATTCACAGCGGGAATCATTTGCTCGCGTCTAATCGCTGAGGTTTCAAAAGCTCTAGCAAACTCCGTGTGCTTAGGTCGCCGTGGCAGTCGGATGGCTCGACTCACTTACGGCTCTTCTCACTGACTCTCCACGTTTCACGGTTCACGCTACTGCGACTGCTGTCTCGGCCACATCTGAATCTTCCGCTTGGGACTCGAGTACCTCCTTACCGACCAGCATGTCATTCACAGAGAAAATGTCTCGTTCGGACTGGTGAGCGCTTGGTTGTTGTGAACACAATTCGGCCACTTCGACCTGCACGATATCACACGCCAAACGCATATGTCGATGTCAGTCCACTGGTGGATATAGCAGAAACGCCCGTCATCGAAAGGTGTGTTATCCGGATAGCTGAGGGCCGAATACTGACAAGAAATCAAGGCCTGCATCTTAGTACTTTAAAATATATTGATATGGAATCGAATACCAATTCCTTTTGTTGCTAAATTGCCCTCTAGACAGAAAATGGCAAGCTATATAAGACAAGAATCAAATCCTTTGAGAAACCATTGACTCTGAAGCAATTCTAGTTGAGCTGTCATAATGTGCCAAAAGCAGATTACTTGCTTGAAGCAAGTTCTTCAGAGATAGAACTCACTGTCTGCCTTAAGTGAATACAGCTAAGACTCTCTACTACGTAATTACCCCTGCCTTCATCATACCTCGACTGCCGTGTAGACGATCGAGCTCTCAACTGCGTGGAATTTTGAAAGACTGTCCTTTTGTAGCCGAGACATCATATCAGTGCTGAATATCTATCCTCGTAACAGTTTGCTTTCACTAACTCGAGCTATTATGCTACAACGTTTGCTGTACTGAGATGCAAAAAAACTGCAATTGTGTTCATGTGTAGATAATTTCGTGCTACAGCACAACCACTAACGGAGGCTTTTGTGTCATGACACTGAGTGCATGCTTTTCCAAGTCACATCTGATGCTGATGACGTGGAGCACGATACGTCGACGCAACACGCATTAAATTATGCAAACCTCACACGACACACCTTGCGTACATCGACTGGAGTACTCGAACATCGAGAATGCAAGAGAAGAAATATAGGAACCAGAGTAGGAGAGCATCCAGAATGCCGCCACCTCGTGATGGTTTTCTTCTGGGTCCACTCATCCACACCGAACATATGATTGACACCGACTTCACATTCGAATATCTAGCTCTAAATGAACCAACACACAGCTGGATACAACGACAGCACTCCTCACTGCTCGATCCCTGTGTTCTGCCAGGGCTCCCTGAGACTACTCAACTATACCTTGCTGAAAAGCACGTTCACTTCCGATGCATAGCCATTCGTAGTCCAAGTTACATACGGGGGAACCACATGACTTTCACGGCGAGAACTGCGTACGTAACCGTTGACCGTTAATACTAGATCCACATGAAGGAGGGCCTCATCCTTGATGACTGGGTGGAAGCGACGGTTGGGATCATGACTCTCGACAGGCTGGGTGCATCTAAGGAGTGTTTTACTGTGAAACAATAATTCTTCCCGACAGAGCTTCGGGGAGAAGGCCTGTAGGTCAAACGAGTCCCCTCCTACAGCTCAGCTCAGTCAAGTTATTGTTGTCATGAGATAAGTGTGAATGGGCGTGAACAATGGAAGCAAGAATGAAACAGAACCTGAACAGAACATGAAACAAGAATTGTGAATTTAACGGAAAGAGAAGTTTCACCATAAGAGAAGTATTAGTCAAGCAAGAGCCAGGTTCCGGAATGGAAGTGAACGTTCCATCTGTGCGACTCTGGGTAGCGACGCTCATGATACTTATTGATTGCACAATGGCATGACAAATGTGATTTCATCGGTTCCTCCTTACAAGACCTTCATAACTGTTCAATAACTGTTCAAAGTTTTGACTTCAAGAACGTTCTCGTTATAACTTTGTAAGAACTCTCCGGAGTGAGGAAAACACGTGAAAGGTATGTAGCGCTACTAATACATGAGTAAAGCGGGAAATTGAAGCACTGAGAAGGAGACACCTGGAATAGAAACGTGAAGAAAACCATCGACAGCGGTAGAAAGCAGAGGCCAAATAATGATAGAAAGACATAAAAAAATTGAGTATGACTACTCGCAGTGTCGCGATGTAGCATATAGGGATTCAAACAAAGATCCATTGCAACATTATCAAGAAAAATCCGACCGAGAAACAAAAATAAATTCACAGTGAAGTAGTGCATACTTCTATAGACGACGAATGTTACCTTTTGGGTCCAGGTGTGGTGTTCTAGGCGAAGCATGTGGACTCTCTCTTTCAACTCCATATACTCCAGCACGTTGGGCTGTGCTTCTCCGAGTTGTGCATCTCTCTCCTGGATGAAAATGTGGAACAGCTCTTCTAGGCGATCCTGAAACCGAGACATGCGCATATGAGAAATCTGACACGTTCTCACACAAGGATTTTTTTTTTTGGACATGGAACTTAAATTGAGTCGGATACAGCATGTCAACGTAGACAAGAAGTTTCACAGTGAGAATCAGAACATTCAATCTAAGTTCTGGAGCACACTAGTCAGAACCAGATTCCTTTCATCCTGGAGGACACTTTACCTTCTTTCTGGAGACTCTTGCAATGTCCTTCCTGACATGGGCAAGTTGAGGCTCACGCTCAACCAGCTGCTCAAGTATGTAGTAACGATTTCGAATGTGAGATGATAATTGCCACGACTGATAATCCAGAGCCTGCAATAAAAAAAGCTAATTCAGTTTACAGGTAGTTTTACTGATTCCTCAGTCCAAAGACAGGGTAAAGAAAAAGGATCACCAGTAAGTCAATTTCAGTTCACAGATGGACTTCGTTTTGAACGATTACATTCTAAGAAGGTTGGATTGAAACTCAAAACAAGTGGATCTCTTTATGATAGAAAGGAAGTAGGTTCTCCAGATAGCAAAGAAGCAGATGTTGTTGTCGTGTCCAAATGTGCCGGAAGCAAGCATAAGGTGTTAAAGGAAGGAATCGAACTGAAAACTCCTGGTAAAAGGGAAGGAAAAGTAGCAACATATCACATGCCCTGTATCCTCAAGTCCAGATATATATAGATTCATATGATGCAAAATAATATAGAAAGGTACAGTTTCCAGAGCCAGAGATCTTATCAAGGAGGGTAAACTACAAAGCAAGCAGAAAACAGAGACCCCGGCATGTTGCATGAAAAATGGCTTCTAAGCTTAAGAGCAAAGCTTCCAAGTAAATGATTTTTTCCGGCTATGTCTAAGGAGCCCAGGAACTAAGAACCTAAAGTGCCGTAATGAGTATGCTGTACTTTAACTGAACTGGTTAATGTCTGCAAGACCTACATCACAGATCACTGACCGTAAGAGAGGCGAAATTTTAGAGCTTGCACATGGAAGTTTGCTTACTCACGTGTCATGATATATCGTATATCCATTATCCTTGTATTCAAGCGCAGAGAGGGTATCTCGATTGCTTACGTGGATCTAGAGAAGTATTACAGAAAAACACAAGGCCAAAACATGTCCTCATGTACAGCACACCGGGTCCAGACGGACGGTCACCTTAGACTAAACTGAGAACCACAAGTATGAGGATGGGAAAATGTCTGCGATTTGACGGGTACGTTTGTGGCATAGGAGGTACACTGTTTTCAGTAGCATGATCTGTTGTGAGCAAGGCACGGTTCTCCTAATTTACGAAGTTGGACTCGCTTGACTCAGTTCGACATAATTTGACCCTGTTATTTGTAGTATCAGTATGAAATGTATCTATCCTGTAATGGATTTAGTATTAGTCCAATCCAGAGCATCGTTGTCATATTCTATGGGAATCATTGCCCTTTAGGTTTTGGCTTTTTACTGCGTGTCAAGGGCTTGATGAGGCCATTGAGAGAACAGAATTCAGAACTTTTTCAAACAGATTATAGTTGACAGAATACCTCGGTTGCCTTGGCGTTGCTAGACTTTAATCGGTTCAGTTCATGCAATCTCTCCCGCAATCGTTGCTGATTTTGCTGCTTATGAATCTGTAATTGCTCAAAATCCACTGCATGCAATAAATCTGCCAACTCTTTTTTGTTTGCTAACATCTGCTCTGTTTTCGCAATCTGCAGATTTAGTGCAGCATTTCGTTCACGAACCTTCAGAGCCTTAGCAAACTTCTTACTCAACTTCGCTTCCATAAACCTGGTAAAAAAATTCACCCAAATACATGTGGCCTGTCTCATTACCATATCTACTGCTGACAAACAGCGGAATTATTGGTAAGTCTTGAGAACCACCAAACACAACGGAGATGCGACTGTGGCAGCTTGATAAACTCACATCCAGATTCATAGAAGATGGAGGCTGAGATTGACAGTTTCCACGTTGGAGAATGCTATTAACCCAGGAAAAATGTTGACCTTTAAAAGAGAATGAGGAAAGGGTAGTCATTGTGTCGGACCAAAGGAAATAGGAAAAGCATTTGAGGACAAATATATATACATATACTTACTTACTCTACTTACTTGAGGGTTGCTCTGTAAAGAGAACTCAGAGAAATGAAGTCTGATTAAATGACCCCAACCCTGTAAGAAAATAAATTCAGGGCGACTGCAAACTCTTACAACCAGAGTCAATACAGATCATGGGTGGGCCGACCTGAAACTTAACGACAATATGCCACTCAGAACCATTTCTACACACAGTTCTGCTATCCTTCCCAGAGCCCTCCTACTATACAACGCACTAAAATGTCAACGGTCGAGATCATGGCTTCACCCAACACATGTGCCTAGAGACAACTGGGAAAGGCTGTTGATAGTGAGTATGCTAAACTCAGCATCAAGGGCTCGATTTAGAGTAAACAAATCAGTTTCAAACCTAGGACTTATCTCACGGGTTAGAGTATTTACTTCAGAATTTTGTCCGCGTTCCCCCTTTTAACTCCCTTGGCCCTCGAATCAGAAAGTACATCTCTTTGGAAGTCAGCCCTGTCCCTTCGAACTTCACCAATTCGCAGACTTGCCTCATCGAAGGCCGCACGCAGTTCGTCCAGCATCCGCTCATTTTCGGTAATGGTCGACTCTATCTCTTCTTTCATGGCAGAACATCCCCTGGTGGCAATCTCATTCTTCTCTTCAGCATTTAGGGTCGGACAAAGCGCCTGAAGATTTACTTCTGGCTCGGGAGTTTCGCTTTTGGCTGGAGTTTGGGCTCTCAGACCAGGAAAGCCAGCGGATGAGCCTCTTCTGCTAGCTGCTCCCTCTAGTATCGAACCGCCACGTCCCATTAAACTTTGCGCTACAGAGCTCCGGCTGGCATACTCAAAAATTTCATCCTCTTCACTCTCCGTCTCTTCCTCAGAAATGTCTGACAAATTAGTGACCTTCGCGGCAGCGACCCTCTGCGTAGCATCAGATAGAGAAGTATGTGCCAAGCTGTGGCAAATGAGTTTCCAGACTACATTGGTAGAATGGGAATGCCAAGTGATCTCACCACTTGAGGCATCAGACTTTCAGCTGAAAGTCAAGTTCTATGCTTTCAGTCAGGTTTCTGGACCGAACATAACAGTAAGATTGGTGTAGTTGAGAGATCTAACATTTCTGTTTGAACGGATACAAGTTATATTTGTTGAGATATTCAACTTACGAGCCCAATAGGCAAGTAATTTGATACACCCTCGGCATGAGCTAACAGAGACAACTGTGCAGTCTTAAGCCCAGGTCGAAGAGGGGACATCAAAACTGCTGGGCGCATTGAATCTCTAGATCGATGAGTGATAAGTCCGTTTTCCTCATTCGACTCGGAAAACGAGAGTCGAAGTCAGGACATGAGTTGGATCCCGTAGTAGAGATTTACAGCAGACCCGCGATTGTAGCATCTTGAACGTTCAGTCGAACTCACCAAGCTACGATGTGAAATCTCACGATGTTTCGTGTGCGGAAATACAATATCAAACAAGAGGCCACTATAACTGAATGCACCTATGATAGTATGATCCCAGTCAATCGAGTAACCCAGGGCTCATTACTTGGAGAAAATAAGTAAAACCTACAGGCATGTACGGTTCAACAGACAACCTCACTGAACAGGAAAGCAACTGTGGACGTACGTTTCTTGTACCACTAAAACCGACAAGAAACATAGAAGAGCTCGATCCGGACATGTAATCACAGCAATAATGTTGTTATTATGTAGATTCATGACAACCAGGAGAGAGTTTCTTGAGTGATGTGGGTGAGACACTCTCAACAAAAAATCCATTCCGTCTTGTTATGCGGTATAGCTGAGAGCTTTTAATTTGTGTGCAGCTGGCCCTCTGAGGAGATACATTTGAGAAGAACAGAGCTGTCTCATGGTCGTAGCCGACAGTATGCTAATCATTCTAAAAGCAAGTGAATTGACTTCTAGCAAAAACAATCCGGAAAGCAAGCATTCAGCTGAAAAGCACCATGGTACAGAAGCCAATTGGCGACGAGGTAAGAATGACATTCACCAGGATGTAATCCGAGAGAAGAGCATTCTCGTTGGTTAGCAGCTCGCATTCTTTGAGCAGATTGTTCAAAATCTCTTGATCAGACAGCGGTGTTTCTACTTGTGGAGGTGGAGGCTCGGCTTCCGAGGCCTCGTCGGCTGACTGATCTTCTGCAGCAGCAGGATCACCCGCCGCACCCGCAGCATCTGCAGGAAGAGCAGGAGGAGGGAGTGCATCCGTTGAAGAAGCAGCAACTGGAGGAGCAGGAACAGTCGTAGTAGCCATCGAATCCGACCTACTGATCTCTCTTCCCTTCCGCCATCTCACTCAATCAGACCTCCCATCCACAGGAAAAAACCCAGGAAAATGTGACGATTGCACACTCTCAAAATCTTGGAAGGAACTGAACAATAACTTGCAGCAAATCCTCGAAGATTTTGAGAAGGAGGAATCATCAAGAGTGCAGTGTGGGCAAGCATCACCACCCCTCGGGCCATTCTTTCGTAACCATCTTCTGAAACTCCCGAACCTATCAGCAACCCTAATCATCAAACCGAGACAATAAACGCCTTCCGCTACTCACATCTTCGCAGATCGAGGACCGAAGGCATCAACACCGACGGTCACAGAAAGGAGCGATGTGCACTTACGGAGCAAAGGAACATCATTCTACTCAACCCTCGACATCGACAAAATGTCGGCTTTTTGACTCGAGCTTCCAGATGCACTGCGCAAACCCGTCCAAACGCTGCCAACAAAGCTGAAGCCTGTTCTGGCATAAAGTCTGGTTTGGCGACGGTGGTCGCTGACAAGTGGGAACATTACTGGAAGCTGCTAAATGGCAGTCCTCCGAAGTAGAAGAGCTGGTTCTAACATCCCGTCTGGAGTCTGGAGCCCGGAATCTTTTGAAAGTTTCCACCAATACGGTATGCATCCCGTCAATCGATCGTACGCCGAGTACGATAGTCAGGATTTCCTCAGAACCTGTCACCGCACTCACTTTCCCACTCTGGTCCGCGCTGCAAGTTTCAGACAGCTGGGGTTTATATCCTCGTGTGAACCTCGCTTCAGAGCAGAGTCTGCTCTGTCGCACTTGTGTCTGCTCAGCAGACACAAGTGCGGGATTCCACTTCGACGGGCTGCAAGGATTGACGGGTGAGGATGGCAGATGCAATAATCCTCTAAATCCCCCGTTCTCCTTAATCTGGCTCTCCATAATATTCTTAGATTCTCGCGATCGCAATCGAATTCTCATTAAGGAGTGCAGATTTATCGCTCCCATTCAACCTTCATTCCCAATCGGTGCATGTTGAGTTCCCAGATGCAGGCACGACTTATTTTAGCTTAGAGCAAGACGGAGCTTCTTGAATCGCAGCCGTGGGAGTCGGCCTTCAGTCCTCGAGATGATCGGCGGCATGAACATCCTTTTCGTTCTTGGGAGTGCGTGCATGTTTCAATAATTCTAATACTAGATCCAAATCTCCGGGCCGAGTTTAGTGGTTTGAGAGACATGGTATGACTTGCTACACCCATGAGGAGCTTTAAGGGTTAGAAATAAAAGAAAATGGTAACCGTACAGATGATCGTGCATTTTGGAACAATCCCTCCTCCAGGCAGTGGCGGTGGGTTGCAACTGCCGAGAAGAGAAGCGCCATATTTCCCAGCAAAAAGATGACATTGAGAACGAGAAACATCTGCTGAAGCAAATTCAAAGATACCATGTCTGGGAAAGATTCCTAGAACATGAAATTGGTATATGTATTCGTATAGAGAAGGAAGGCACTTGCTAAGAAATAAGTCATGGAAAGATCGATTGCCTTTGTGGAGGAGTGAAGAGAAGAACGACGCGTGCACCAGTCCAACAAATTGGGTATGGTAAAATCGATCCTGGCTGAATGAGGAGGGGAGGGCCAGCAAACCAAAACACCAAACAGTGTTGGAACTTCTTCCTCGTATCGAACATTCAGTTTCATATTAGGCAGTTCGGTTCGATGGAGAAGACGCCAACACGACCACACATTCGACGAGAACGTGCCTTGTAGGCACTTCTCCATCAAAATCTAAAGTACCGTAGCCTTATCTTGAATTTATACCTGATCCCCTTTTGAGATGGAGAATGAAGAAAAGCTGGGGGATGTCGGCATAAAAGCTAGAGTTGCACATTTCTCAGAGTTGGTATAAAAGAGGATGCAATCTGCGCAGTGAGAAAATGAGACGAGCATCAAATCAAGGGGAGTAGGTTGCATCTGCTGAATCTTCCAGCAGTCGAGGGAAGGAGGGAGGCAGAGAGAGAGCTTGTAGCACGCTGACGTTGATTATACAGTTTTGATTTGATTGCAATAGCAAGATCTTCTGCCACAGAAGATTGCGAGGAAGAGCTCGGGAACAGATCTGGCATCATGTGAAGAGAAATAATTCCAAGTGCTCAACTCCTTCAGTGCAGACCCAGAATAATTTGATCCTCGACTATAGTCAAAGACTGAACTGTAGCATATTCGCGGAGCTGATTACAGCTGATATGGCGTATATAGTCCAGGACCTTCAAAAGGTAGACGAGCGTATATTCTCAAATCTTCGATCACGTGAAGGGACGGACGTTGATCAGTGAACATAAAAGTGCCCACTTCTTCCTTCGAGTTTTCACCTCGATGTCAAAATTGAGCAGGAGGTTTTTACTCGTGTCACTCACTTTACAACACTTTGTCTGAGTCTGATCAGCTCCAGGTTCTCGAGCTATATCCATGTGGAAACGCGTCAGTCAATTTGGAATCTCCAGTGTGAGAATCTCGGCGCATCTTCTTCAACCTGGAGCGTTTGTAGAATAATTGGCATCGAACAAAGTGACAATGTTTACTGCTTGTCTTTGCTAACTTAGAGGCGCTGAATCAGTCTCGATCAATGGCGAGAGAGTAACGTTCTGGCTGATTCCTCTTAACATTTTTTTAAGCAAGGGATAATAGTTCTGATGTGTACTCGACGTCTGACTGAATGGGGCGTATATTCATGGGGCAGGGAGGTCATAGATATGTGTGCGCGTTGAGCCAAAATTCAGTGGTCTGTCTGTGAACACTGCCGATTTCTCACTCGGACGTCTGACATTCGAGCAGCTCCTATTATTGCAGATCATGTACCCAAAGTTACAGAAAGCATAAATTGAAAAGCCCAAAGCTGCGTCATGTCTCCCGTAGGGCCTCCTCGTCCTCCTTCAGGAAACATCAATTTGCTTGGTGATGCTTGTCTAGTGTGCTGAGCGACATCCTGCTTCGGTTTTTATCTTCTCTCTCGTTCTCTTCTTCATCTGCAGTGTCTTTTGTCTCGGACCACTGTCTCAGTTTGTGCAACACAGATTTACTATGTGGTGATCAATGTTGCCGGATGATCCATAGATGGTCAAAATAGGTCTCACAACCTAAGAAGAGGCGACATGGACACACTTCTTCTGGCATGCTCACTGCGAATATTCACGAAGACCAAGATTGAGCTGTAGAGTGAGTGAGGCAGACTCTAAGAGGTTAGCACATGTAGATCCCCACAACTGACCAGTAAGACCTCGATTCGTTTCCAAACAGTCGGAGGAATCCCCGAAGAGCAATAAGATATCGGTCAGAACTGCTGCATGTATAGTTCAGGTTTTCCTGTCTCGAGTCGGAGCCTGCAGTTTCAATATTCTATTCTGTGTCGCTCATGCTCCAGGTGCATCTCCAGAGATTCTGGACGACATTCACTGATCGAGAATAATTCGCACTCCTCTGCCTTGGGTACAACGGGTGAGACGAGGGCAGGACGCAGTCAGAACTCGAGACAGACGACCGAAGCTCACATGAATTTCCTCGAATCGAGTGAGAATCGAGAGTGTAGAAGAGTGCAATTCGAGATCACCTCAGGCTGGGAACCGCTGAGTCTCAGGACGACTGTCAGAAGTCAGCAGTCCAGTTCAAACCGTCTTTGGTTCACAGTTTGATATAACTCAAAAGCAATGAAGGCAGAGGGCTGGACATGGCTTATGACACAGAAGCTCACCTCTCATTAGGAGGGCGTACGAGATCCCGAGGATCGAGTCTCCATACAAGACTTTAAAGTGAGTGACTGAGAGTGAGTGTTTCAGCTCTGCAGTACAAAGCCAGGCAAAGTGAGGTGCGGGATGAGGGGTGAGGGGCCGCGCAGACCGAGCAAGGGACAAATGGCCAGGGCTCCACATACGGGAGCGTCTCTCAGAGGCATGGCCTGTTAAGAATCTGCATGCCAATCCAAGTATAGGGTCTCCTGAGAGCCCTACTGGTGGCAGCACTGGTATTATTAAAAGTTGGGCCTCGGATTGGCCTGTAATGGGCAGCAGGTCTGAGCGGCCCTTTGGGGGGCTGCAATATCAAAACAGTGCTCGGAAGACATGGAGAGCAATTCAACGCCTATGGCATGCTCGCCATTGCGTCCTGCAAGGGCGATGTGCCTGGGGTGCATGGCAGCCATGACCCTCGTTGGCTGGCTATCTAAGTCAGGGCTTGCAGTTCTCGCAACATTTTGCTCTGAGCTGTTGGCTTGCTATGTCAGGCGGAGTTCAGATGAAGGCGTCATGGTGGTCGAGTTTTCTGTCACCTTTTCCTCGCTCACACAGAGCGGAAGAGAAGTGGGCGGTCAGGCTCGGGGGCTCCACTTAACTCACAGTACCTCCCTTGATTCCTGGCGTTGGAAGTCAGAGCCTCAGAGCCCCAGATTCTGCAGTTCTTGCAGCTGCTGGTATTCGAATTTGTCAACTCCACGAGTGTCATGCAATTTACGGGTCCACTCCCCATGGCATCTAAGCTGGGAATCTTTGAAATTGTTCACCCGAGTCTGAATGGTGCGATGTTGTAGGCATCAACAGCTGTACAACGATCACGACGATCAAAATGCGGGAATATTGGAATCATGTCACAAACCAGAGGGCAGCCGCCTTTGGAAACGAATATCTGATGAAGTAAAGCCTGGAAAAGGGAACATGGCCCTGTCCCTTCTACGTCTAGGTACTAAGTATCGCTGCTGGGCATGCAGCGAGACATTTCTCCCCCACTTTAGGAAAGTTTCGCCCCTCCGTGATTAGTATTCCAACATGCATCAAGTTCATAGGAGAATCATGGCTCTTGTTCTTAGCAGCTGCACAGCGATCCACTGATTTCCCCCCACCGCCCTCGCCTGCCTCTGCCTGCCTGCGTTATTCATAAAACAGCCCCCAAGGACTACAACTTAATTTGGGAATCGTCTCGATCAACATTCTAACATCTTATATTCCAGCAACTGGAACTGCAGCACTCTGAGCCCTTTGCGCTTCCGGATTCACGATGGCTCAACCCTTGGTGAGCTCCACGCATCGTCTCCAGTAGCCTCTTCCAGAGCTATAGACGTCGCGGTCCGGCTGTTTGATATTCTCGGTGACTGGAACTGTAGGGCTGTAGGACTGCGCGAATCTTCCAGTGATTCTGGGGTGTCTCCAGGAGCATGAGTGCTTTAATAAGTGTGGAGGAAGGTCCACTGAACATCATGGCTCGCTAACTTAAGGTCAGTCTCCCGAAGGGAGCTGAGAGAGCACGGGACCCTTCGTGCGACAAAATGACCTGCAAATGTAATCTGAGAACCGTCGGAAGGAGAGGGAAGCAGAAGGCTCAGAAGAGTCTCAGAGAGGTTCGCAGAATCGGTGGGTGGTTTTATGAGGAGTGTGTCGTCTGGAATCGTCGGGGCATCCACAGCTGGAACGCGATCGTGATCGTGCTGTAGTACTCGTCTTCCGAATTCCACAAATGGCAGCCGCCCGTTTTGCATTCTTTGGCTTTGCTATATTCACATGGGGAGAATCTAAATGGCCTTCTTCGAGGACTGGAAATGGTGCAGTGCTTCTGCATTGCAATGCAGCTGACCACAATGCAGGGAGCCTCACGGCGAACATGCAACAGGAAGCTAGTTTATCTCGGTGTCATGAATGACGTCGTCGAAGAAAACATTCAAAGAGACAAAAGATCTCGCTCGCTGTATGCACAGCCCCGATTCTCATATAATTTATCATTGCAGCAAATCTCTCCACCTACTGTGACCATTATTGAACTGGTTTTCGTGGGTCTTCAAGAATAATTGAACATCCAAATTTTGCCGGGCACCCCGCCTCCCATCCCATGTTACTGACACCCCCCTCGATCTAGAGGATCATGTGGACATGCATGCAGATCCCGTTCCTTTAAAGGCTAATGAATGAGTTTCACTGTCGTGCCCAAAACCCTTCTGCTGGCGTCGTTCAGAAGCTTTGCCGCAGATGATGCACAACGTAGTGTCATCACGAGAATCAACTGATCAACTTTGTGCCTGTGCCGGCGTCCTCCCGAAGCTTTTCCTCCTCACAGGAATCCACAAGAGCGTGGAGATCTGCCACAGCCTAAACAGAAGGCTCAGGCTATAGCGAAAGTGGACGTCGCATAGACAGAGGACGAGAGAGAGACAGCGAGCGCCATCATGGAAGCTTCTTGCATAATTTTGAAAGGGGTCATGGTCATGAGGGAGCGCTCGGTGAATCAGTTCTATGATTATATTTTGGGAGCAGCTGCCACAGCAGAGTCTTCTGACGAGCATCCATCCGGCTCCTGTTGAAGTGGCTCTCGTGAATATTCTCAGAGAGATAATTGACGTCCTCACATGAAGCACCAAAGGAAGCATCAAATCACAGGCCGAACAGGAGGCTACAGGAGACAGTGGTTAGTTCTCTCGGCTGCTTCACGTTTACCGCAAGTGAGAGGAGCATCTGGTCAAGTCGCAAGTCGAGTCAGATCATGGTTCATGAATAAGTGCACGGTCTGGCCACATAGTTCTTTCCTCGAATCGAATCGTTCTTCCCTCCGAGGACCGCCACTACGCTGGGGATGATGGTCAAACAAACAGGCCTGAGGGTCGGGAGAAATTTCTCTCAGATACGACTCTTTAGCGTTCTGGCGGGGCTGGCCTTAAGCTGCTGCTCCTTTCAGCGTCAACAAATTCTGATGCCTGTGCAAGACATGTTAACCGCAGAAAGTATTGGGTCCGTGTCTGAATTCAGACGCTGACTAGCCCCGACTGCTCAGTTGCACGAGGTTGAGTTTCTGCGGTTCTGTTTCACCAAAGGTACTGACGATTCGCGCGGCAGATTCTACTGAGGAGCCAACTTGCTGAGCACTGAGCACATGACACTCCTGACATTTTTCACGTCTTCAACTCTGTTCATTATCGAAAAATGAAAAGCCCATGGGTTTTGTGGACCTATTAAGCATTCATTGCCTACGTACGCCAACTAAAGCCTCGCCTCCCTGAGAAGGAGACAGAGAAATGTTGCTCTGATTAATTAATGGGTCAATGTCGCCATCACACACGCTTCGATTAGATCAAAATTGTCAGAGTAGAAAGCGTGACGTTCTTCCTACCGGAGGCGTTCCAAAGCCGGCAGCGTTGCGATTGTGGTAGTTGGGCCGAATATCCCACAACTGCCTCAAATCTTCCGCGTCGTCAAATCTCCAGGAATGTTTGTGATCAAAAGCAAACGGATATACAAGGAGCCACGTTCCATGGCGACCATGATCCAACTTCCATCGACCATATATTCTCGGTTCGATTCCAGGGCCAGAGCGGATCGTAATCCGGAGCAGAAAGGCACCGACTTCTCTCGACTCGCCTGCCCGCCATGTCCGTAGTTACTACGTGCTGCATGACTAGGCCCTGGGCAGAATAATCCTGCAAGTCATGCTCTAGGCAAGCTCGCCAGAGATTCTAAAGCTCCGACCCCGGTTGGCCGAGACGAGCCGAGAATTAATTTCCGCTTTAGAGAGGCTCTGCAAACTTGCGCCGTGGTGGGCTGGGCTGGTACAGCGAGGAACATTATCCACACACATGCATATCTCATCGCAAAGCCTGCACCATTCGCTGCGCGGACTGCTGCTTTTTCCTGTTCCTACCAGTCTAGCTCTAGCTCTGGATCCAGGTGGCTGGCCAGCGTCGTAGTCGGCCTCAGTCCTCGAGTGGCAGCAGTGGCAGTCAGGGGTAGATGTCTTCATGCTCTGCGGACTTCGAACCAAGCTCATCATCATATTTCTAACTTTTTCCGACAACTCCTACGCACATGATTTTATTATATCTGCTGGGAACTTGCACCCCTCATGATCACCCCGGGGGCTGCATCGCTTTTTCTCGCCATCTCTCTCACCTGGACCTGGACCTGGACCCGGACCCGGACATGTGATTATCCAGTTCTCCTCGTATCCTGACCCGTGGATGTTTGAGCGCATACGCAACTAGAATCAGCTCTGGCCACGTATGTACAATAGGATCACGGAGGGAGGGAGGGAGGGAGGATGGGAGGGAGGCAGGCAGGCCGGCCTCTCGTACACTTCCGGCTCACAGCGGGGTTAAATAAATCCACATTTGCAAATGATTCCCAGCGCTTGCAAATGATTCCGCAGCTCGGAATCAATTGCAAGCGCTGGGAATCACTTACCAAGGCAGGTGTCTAGGAGCGGACTGAAAGGATTGGAATTCAACGGAAAGTGAACGGAAGGGGATAAAAAGGCGAGGCCAGGAAAGCAAAAGAAGATATCACAGCAGGATCAGAAAGAAATGGAATGATAAGTGCGTAAGTGCGTGCGTGCGTGTTGAGAACGCGCTGAGTGCATGGCTAGAGCCCTTCCGTTCTCTCCTTGGCACGCGAATGCGCTCCAGGCACCACGGGCAAATCACAGCAACCCAAGCCGAGCCTAGCACAGTTGGGTTCCAGGGAACATAGAGGCAATCGAGCGAGCAAACCAACAGGCAAGTCAAGTCAAGCTCCGTGGTCCCTGAGGGATGCGAAAGCAAGGCCCGGGATCCACTGATCTGGACCGAGCGGGTTTTTAAGGCGAGGCAGAATCGCCACCTGGACGGTACATGCACAGAGAGAGAGAGAGAGAGAGAGAGAGAGAGAGAGAGAGAGAGAGAGAGAGAGAGAGAGAGAGAGAGAGAAGTACGTAGGTTGGGTGTAGTCGGAAGGAAGCACACAGAGAGGAAGGGAGAGGGGGGACGACGGAGCATCGGTCTGTGGAATCTATCTATCTACTCGGTGCTAGTGGCAGCAAGTTTCGGATCACTTACTCGCTCGCTGATGTCTGAAATTGAACAAGTCCGTTTTGATTCCACAAAGGCATCACCAGCCTGTAACTCTAACACAGTACAGTCATGGAATAATCTCCCCACAAAAGGTAGCCGCCTTACTCTGCACAGTCTAACAGCGCTAGCGAGCACTGAGAATCATTTGCGCACTTGATGTGTAATGATCTCTCTGCATGGCCCTGAATCTGTGCACCCCAAGGCCTCCCCTCCCCTCCCCTCCCCTTCCCCCCCCCCCTTCCCCCCCCCCTCCTCCACCAGTGGGACCAAGCCGAGCCCCGCGCAGTATCTTCTCCCCCTACGACTCTCCCAAATCAACCCGCAGCCCGAGCTCACGGCGGAATCCGAATCCCCTCCCTCTCTCTCGCTCTCTCTGTCTCTCTCTCTATGTCTCTGCCTCTGTCTCGCTCGCTCGCTCACTTGAGAGCTGCACTGGACGGAGTTCCACAGCTTCCCCGCACCCTCCACATCCAGCTACCGGTGACCAACTCAGACTCAGACTCAGAGAGAATCTGTGGGAGAGAGAGGAGCAGGAGTCGGGGGAGGAGGAGAAATCCATCGGCAAGGGGGCGAATAGAATAATGATGAGGGGTGGGCAGGAGACGGATGGAATCCGACGCAGGGTACAGCAGCAGCAGCAGCGCGGTCATGTTTACGGTCATAGGAATGACGCTAATACAGTAGTACTGGGGGGGCCAAAGATTCGCGAGTCGGTTAGAGAAGCTACCTCGTTCCTCTCACAAGAACCAAATGCGTAAGCCACGTCTGTGAACGTTCCGAAGATGAAGCGAGCCTCGGCCTCAGCCAGCCCGAGGGCCGAGGGCCGAGCCCTTCTACTGCGGTACGAAATAAAGTGTACCGTCGTCGAGACAACCGAGCAACAAATCAAAAACAGGAGTGTTCCTCCATTTGGGCCTGTGAACGACTAAACTCACACGAGCTAGAGTATCTGTTGGGATTGGCATTGCGCTCTATTCAACAACTCCTCCTCCTCCTCCTCTCCTCTCCTCTCCTCTTTCTCCTCTTTCTCCTTCTGCTGCCTGCTGCTCTTTTCCTGCTCTTTCTCCTGCTCCTTCGCCTCCCCTCCCACTGCCGACCCCGGGAAAGTGACTTTTAGCTGCCCTTGTGTCGACCCTCGTCATCATCATCGTTTCTCGTCACCCCATGCCACCCCTGCCCCGCCCCGCCCCAGCCAACCGGCGCTTTCCAAAACTTATCTCCCTGCCTGCCTGGTTTCTTATATCCTACCATATCCCGTCCCATTCATTCCCTCACCCCACCACAGCCCGTGCGAGGACGAACGAGCAAGCAAGCGAGCGAGCGAGCGAGCTGCCCCTCTCGTCCCCACTCGTTTCGTCTCGTCTGGGCTCGGCCCGTGTAGCTAGCTCAGCAGCACGTTCCATCATTGTCATCATCCTCATCGGCCACATCACGAGCCGCGGCCAATCGCAAAATCGCCTCGGAATTCGAGAGCGAGTCGGCCGCTTGGATGTGTCTTAAGTTGGAGTTCGTGTCTTGAACTTGAGTGCGGCCGCTCGAGCTCGGGGCTCTCGGGGCTCGGACGAAAGAGAATGGCGATTGTGGAGCAGGGTCCAGCACTGCGAGACTACGAGAACATTGTCATCCTTCAATCATTGCTCAGAAACTCCACCATCGTGGACCTGCCCGAACGCTACGTCTGGACTCAGGCCCTGAGGCGCAATTTGGCGCAGGAGTACGTTCTGAACGAGGAGGTGCCGGACCTGACGCTGCCGATCATCGACGTCTCGTGCCTGCTCGACGGGGCGGGAGATTCCGCTGCCAAGAAGAAAGTCTCGGCCGCCATCGGGGCCGCCTGTGCCGACTGGGGATTCTTCCAAATCATCAACCATGGCATCCCCGACGAGCTGTTCAAGGAGGTGGACGTCCAAGCTCGCAAGTTCTTCGCATTGCCCGTCGAGGTCAAGGAGAAGGCCAAGTACGACCCCCGCCGAAAGGACAAAATCGTGTGCGGCTACAATGGCCGCTTGACTCGACTCTCGTACAACACGCCATGGATGGAATACTTGGCTGATCGCGGAAATGTGGAGCAATTGACGAAAATGATTTGGCCCGAAGGCAACCCCGCTCTCAGGTGCACACCCCTCAGTAGAATTCACGTCCCCATGCTTGGCCTTCTCCATATTCCTACGATAATGTGCCCATGTCGAAGTACCTCCTCCTCTCGCGCTCCTTGTCTCTCAATGTCTCTTTGCTACTGCACGGCACAGACGGACCTCAGAATCGGATCGTGGTTCGCGCAATTCTCCACGTACTTTCGTTCTTTCTTTTGTTGTGAGTTTTGTCGATCGAGACGGAAATGACTGCCGAGGTGTCTGAGGTTTATTCAGCTCGGGCTCGGTCTCGACTCAGAACTGGAATTGGACCTGAAATTAATTTTTTCTAGCTTTGATCCGGATTGTTCAGCTCTGGCAGAACAATTGCAGACTTCCGACAATTAAATTTCTCGTGCCTTTAGTTTTGGTTGTGACGTCACTAGCTCGAGAGTGGCGTGAGAAGGATAAGTGTCGTCGAAACTCGAGTAGCTGAAATCGCACGTGGTTTTGTTTGCACGTGTCGAACGTCCTTTCGAGCGAAAGTGGAGTCCCGATTCAGTATTTAATATGACAGCGTACATGGCGCGAGAGAACGAGTAGTATCTGGAATATTTGCTTTCTGACATTTTCGATTACTGCTGCGAGAAACGGAGTGCCTCTCGCTGAGCAGCGAGCTGACGGACGTCGATATTTCTTGGCTTCTCTCGGTGCTTGCAGCAAACCACTGGAGGAAATGTGGAGGAATTTGCATACACTGGGACAGGACCTGCTGGAAGTGCTGGCCGCGCAGCTGGGCCTGGAGCCCAGATTCTTCTCACGAATGTTCGACGACAACGTTTTCCATCGGAGCACGTGGAGATATAACCACTACCCGGCCTGCCCTCGACCCGATCTCACTCTGGGCACGGGACCGCACTCCGACCCCAACCTCTTCACTCTGCTCAAGCAGGACGCAGTCGGTGGATTGCAGGTCAAAAAAGACGACAAATGGGTCGACGTGACTCCCGTCCCGGGAGCTCTGATCATCAACGTCGGCGATGCTCTGGAGGTGATTGCCCCGCCCCCTCAATCTTCTCCTCCTCCTTGTCTTTTCGCCCAAAGTCCCAGCCACACGTTTGCATGTTTCGGATTAGAAGCTCGCGATTAGTGTTATGATGCTCACGACGACTGCGACAGAGGGAGCGAGCTGGCTGTAATCAGGCATGAAATCCACGAGCCCGAGTTCCCTGTCGAGAGGGAGTCGGACGGGCCAGTGGCTGCAACGAAAGGGATCGAGGCAGTGGCAGTGTCGAGCAGTCAGTCAGTCCGTCGACTGGGACTACTCGGATCCGGAGGCCCCGGCCATACAGAAAGACACGCACACGTACAATGTAGACCGGGGAGCTGAAATCGGTCGAAACTGTTGCGGCTGGCTGGGGCCGTCCGTGCCTGTGGAGCATCGTATTATAGTTTGCTTGCAATCCGGGGAATATGCTGCGCCTGCAGTGCAAGCGAATCTGACATTGTACATGTCAGATTCGCTCGGTTGCCTGATTCGGTGGGTTCGCACTGTTGCAGCCCACCATTGTGCGTAGCCCCGCTGGTGCGATCGGCATGTTCCGAGATTCGCAGGAGCAAGTTGAACTTTGCCGTACAGAGCGCACGGAGGGAGGAATGTATGTGTAGAGCTCGAGATGATTCGCTCCCGATTTTTAGAATGCGCGAGTGAATCGTTTCGGTATCTCTCAGCAGCGGCCGGGCGCATCACTGATGGGACTTTGGATCTTTCTGTGCTGTTGTGTGTTGTGTGTGGCCATCCAGGCGTGGAGCAACGGCAGATACAAAAGCGTGGAGCACCGAGTGCTGGTGAACGAGAAAAGCGACCGCTTCTCAGCTGTCTATCTCATGGCCCCCGACGCGGCTCAGATCGTGGAAGCTCCGCCCCAGCTCATCGACGACGAGCATCCGTCTCTGTACAGGCCCTTCTTGTACGGGGACTATATGACCCACATGATGTCCATCAGATTAGCAGGCAAGAACTGCCTGGACTACGCTCGCAGAGACAAAGCCCCGCCCCAAGGCCAATGACATTACTCCCCCCTGTAGGCATCTTCATTGAGCCCCGAATTTTGTCGAGGAGAAACTACAGAGTCGGTCGAGAGATTCCGAGCGCGCCCCACGTACAAGTAGTCCTCACGTAGTTACTAGCATAGATCCCGATGAGCCTGTCAATTTTTCCAAGGCCCCGGATGGACGTCCGTGCTCCGGAGCTTGCACTTGAGAGGCCGTCCTACTTATCAACCACGTTATTAGTCCCGTTCGCCATTTTCAGCCAGAGTCCCTCCCAGCTTTTACCTCCTGCTTGTAGTTTTCTTTCACAGCCTAATTAGGGTCGCGCCACTCCCGCGGACTCAAAAATTAGTAGTACATTCATTCATTCATTCATTCCAACATGTCGTTGGAATTCAGCCTGCCGCTAGGAAGTGTAGCCTACCGTGTTGTTCCCCGGCTCTTGGCCCAAGAGCAGAGTATAATAATATGTGGAGTGGATGATAATCGGTTCCTCCATGAATCTTTACAGATGACATCGACACCTCTCTATCTCTATCTCTCTCTCTCTCCCTCTTTCTTTTCCTTCCTTCCTTCCTCCAGTGTATGCATATGGCTGACTCCTGCTTGCAACGTCGTTGGCCGTGACCATGACCATGACAGTGTCATGGAGGATCTCACGTTCATGTTGCTGAGGTTCCTGGACACAGGAATCACGAATAGTACATGCCTTGCCTGTCCACCGACTCTCAAACAGAGAAGTTCCGAATTTTCTCGATGCCGATACGCACTGTATGCATCACACCTGTAGCTAGAGAATTCCCTGCACAGAATGTCACTCGCGGAAGCTATCGAATTTATACAGTCTCTTCCTTCTCCGGTGTTCGTGTACATTGTTACGATCTGAATCGTCTTGTCCTCTCGGAGGAATATACATCGTGCTCTCTTTGACATTTGGCTCCTCCATGTATCTGTGCACAGAATCAAGTAAAACGTAAAATGTTGCCACCCATTCAGACTTTCAATCTCCATGTGCAAACATATGTGAGCCCACAAGTTGCCTCAATTCGCCCCCGTTATCGCTTGATCTTCAGTAGAATCTGCAGGAAAGGGTAGAAGAAAAGTTCCATTTTGCAGTTGATATAATGCAAAATCTGCAGTAAAGGTTGAAGGAGAGCATGGGTTGTTACATAGTTCAGCCATCGAAGGTCCTGTAAACAGTATAGATGTAGGATTATAATGTTTCTGGATGCAAATTAGCAACCCAGGTCAGAAATTTCATTTATCTATTTATTTATAAAATTTGCATAGTTACATCACATGTGAAGACCTTCGAATGAGGTTTTTAAGTTCACTAAAGCGAACTTGTTTATATATGGCACGTGCTTAACTCCCTTATCAAATTTTAGTTCGGAAGATTGTGTATAATTGCGATTAGGCCGAAAAGAATTGTGAGATAAAGAAAATAGCGACATAAATCTCGAGTCTTCTGGATTTTTTTCCTGACGGTGGGAAATTTGGTACTTTTGTGGCCGTTCCTTTTCTTTGACATGGTTCTCTTTACTACATTGATCACAACTTTGTGTTATCCTATCTTAGATGTATAGAAACGCAGTCTAGTAACATAGTAGAGAGACCTGACTGCTCTAATTGCTCCCAATTACTGTAATTGGTGGCAATTAGTCGAAGTTGTAAAAAGATTTTAGGTCCACGACTGTTCAGTGAAAGTGCATGATGGAGGTTGTTGAAAGCAACTGCACCAATAGGAATTGCTCTCAGGAATAGAAACCAACGTGCGCAAAGAGGTAAATTTCAAAGCAGTCATGTACATTTTGTACTTTACTTCCTGTTTAGGAAGAAGAGAAGTCAATAACATGCAAATAGAAAACAAGATGCGCACGCCAGTCAAAGCAACAGCCACAGGATTAATTAAGCCACAACAGATATTTGCTTCAGGATCACTTTTTTCACACGAGGTGAATATGAGCATAGTCTATTTTCCGTATAGACGTCTCATCATGAAATAATTATGTCATGAAAAAACTTAAAGCCGATTGGATGAAACAATAGCAGGTCGGACTGTTTTGATGCATTCTTTATTGGACTCGTTTACAAAACACACCAGGTTTAATAGGCTGTTAAAATTAGCTTCTCGGATCATGTAATATAAATCGAAACTTCACAAGACAATTCTTTGTACCGACAAGAAAAAACAGTAAGATTTTCACTTACTTTATTATAAAAACACACCTAATTGTGGAATTAGTTCAGTCAACATACTGAAATACTGCCTCAGGCTCTTGTCTAACATTACCTTATTTTATGTGAAAATTTAATTTAATTTAAAAGCCTAGAATTTTAGTTAATCAATGATTAAATTTCATTTAGTTAATCGTTTCATTAATCATTATTAACTTTCATACATGAATCTAATTTAGATCCAAATCTTTTTAATCCTTGTCATTTTTTTGTCTAAAACTATGCAAATAACGTGAAATATTAGATTAGATGAATAGATAAAGAGCTTCAAGTAAATGCTATTATCATTTTTAGTAATTATAGACAAATAAAGCATTTACAACCTTGAAGTTTATAATTCTCTGCATATCACAATAAACAACACACATGTGATAATGATAGATACAAAACAGTTCATAAGCTTAATAAATATAATATCTTTAGTTCTCATATTTTCAATATTTTGAAAATCAATAATTAAATTATTATGATTTTTTTTTTGAAAATCCTCATTTTAAAGAAAACACATCAGTTATTTTTTAAAGAAAATCATTGTTCAAAATTTCAAACAATATATTATAATTTTTTAACTCATACATTTGTTTTAAAAGCAAAAAAACTATATATACATATATATATATATAATAACATTTTCATAATATATATATGAAAATTTTTCATACATTGTAAAATTTATTCATAAATTTCTCGATTTTTTTATCACTCTTTCTTTTTGTTCATATATTATATTTATTATTATATTTCAAATTAATTGAAAGATCATTGACTTTAAGAACAACTGTGTTTTTGATGTGGTTCTTGTGAATCCTAATGTTTTAGACAAGGCAATTTAGAATGTAAATATGTGATTTTTTTCATTCTCAAATGCAGCTTTATGCTTTAATTAAGATAAATATGATCTAGGTTCGTCGTTCAAACAATTAATAAACTAATAAAATACAGACATATATATATATATACATATATTATATATATAATAGTGTTTGTATCTCAATTATTATTAAAACCTTTATTTTTATTTTTAAATATTTATTAGAAAATATATATAGAAATACAAATTGAGATATCATTGCTCGCACATTGCAAGAATTCTATTTCTTTCATTGAATCTTGATTGTTTAATCTACTCAAACCTTAAATACTCAAGTTTGTGCAAAGTAACAAATATGCTTGTGCAAAATTTCTATTATTGAAGATAAACACGCTTTTGTGTTTGAATATTATATATCAAATAAACCTTAAGACTATTTGATCACTTATTATTTCCAAAAAAATGTAAAATCTTAGGTCATAGATTGCATCAGCTCTGTCAAAACCATTAACTTAATAATAAATTTAGTTCTTCAAACTCTTAATACTGCAGTCCAATACTAAAAAATGATTGCCATTCTATTAATTTGCTCTTTTAATCACGTTTTTTTAATAAATTTCCTCCCAATTAAACTCCTTGAATTTAATAAAGCATTTGAATTTTGAAATTTATTATCTGAAGAAGTAAAAAAGGCAAAAATGAATAATATTTAATGTTTAATTCATTAAACATGAAATTTTTATTTAAAAAATGCAACCATTATTCTTGAAATATGTTATTTTTATTTCTATGGTATTGCAATTTATTTAATTCTATAATAATTTAAAAATATAATTAAAAATTAAAAATTCAATATTTGAGTACAAAACATAAATCTAAAATCAATTTTTCATTTATTCAGTATTTCTTTTTCCCAAAGATTTTCCTTTAAAAATTTTTTTCTTTCATATTAATATCAAAAAATTCATTAAAAAAAATTACTCTACCATTTAGATATTATTTATTAAATCATTAATTCATCGTTAAATAATTTATTAAATAAAATATCTAATAACATCAAAGCAATAAAATCATTCTCATATTTTGAAAAAAATTCAATTTCTTTTGCTTTTAAATATATTAATTACTAATTTTTATGACATAGAAATTTCAATATTTGAAAACACCTCAAATTTTATATTTTATTTAAAACTTTTTTATATATATATTGAATTTTTAAAAATCTATTTCAATTACAAATCATCAACGAGATTGTTAAAGATATTAATTGAATCTTAAAGTCTACACTTCAATGGGATATATATACAATATATTTCAAAAGCTTAATTATCATAATTGCATTATAAAAATGAATGTCTAATATCTTAATCTCACATATCTTGAACACCTAATCTCAAAATTATTTTTTGAGTGGTTTCACGCTAATACATTTCCAAATGGGTGGAACAGCAAAAGAGTCAAACTCGATGCCAACGCGCATGACATCTTTCAATTAGTCGTATCGACAAGAATTTGGTTTTCTGATTTCAAAAAGAGATGGTGCCACTTGTTGTATCATTAACATTGCATGAATATTTTGTATAACATTTGGTCGTGAGAGCAAAATTGGTGCGAATCGTCCAAAAGCTACCATAAAGAACATGTTTGATCAAGCGTTTTGTCTCGAGAAATATTGCATTCATCTCAAAAGCGAGCATCCAATCCGTTGTGAGAATTATTATGCACTATCTGAAGAAAGTAAATTGATTTACTTTGACATTGAAGTATCCTTCGTGAACACAATTTTGTCATATATGGATAGAGATACTGATTATGTAACCTACACCATTGACAAGATCATAGTTAAGGTCAACATTGGAAAAATGTTATGCAACCTGAAGATTTTGAAGTCCAAACCTATGAAAACGCAATGCGCATATTCACGCTAGATTCTCACGTGAGTAACTATTTTGTGATTATCAAAACTCCAATGGGGTATCAGCTTGCAATTATGTAAATTACATTGATATTGGTCTCCGACATACTGCGTTGGCGCTTCGGGCAACAAAGAAAATTGTCATTGTCTCCAAGCTCGACGTAATGAATTATTTGATAATTGTTACATTTGTAGAAGTTCAATGTGGTGCCAATTTTCAAATCATTTCTAATATATTATGCATGGTGTGAAAGTTTTCAATTGCATGGATCATTTAATTTACATGGATTATTCATACATAGATGTTTGTGTTCGTTTTGTTTGGCGACGCCAATTTTATATTTTGTATCTTATATCACATCTATTTTACGGATCTCATGCTGATTTGTCACACTTTGAACTGCTGTGCAAATTAATTGATGTACTCTTTCCCAACTAGAGAAATCAATTTTTTATGCATCGTCAAACGGAGCTCAACACATGTCTAGTCATGTTGTTGATGTTATCATGCGTATTCAACAAGATTCACTGGAAGTGTTCATTCATGTGTGATGTATATCCTATCAATTGGACATTCCACTACAGTATGCATACTTGACGTTCAATGTGAATGAATGGTAGCAACACTAGTATCTATGATCTCGCAACTGCGTCGAGAGCAGAAGTTTATTTGCAAAATGAAATCAACTTGTTCCAAGAAATCTACGACTCAGGGGCACGTATTGTTCAATGTCACAAGTTGATTCAATGATCATCATCACGAAATCAGTGTCCATTATTTTGAAATTCCAGTAGACTCTTCTAGATGTGCATCTCAATCTTAAAAATACATCTGGTTGGGTTCTAAATGCTATCACAAGGAGCATCACAAGTGCTATACATATCAATTTATTACGTGTGTGTTTGAAATATTGGAAAAATGTATGTAAACGACTCAAATTGAACGAAATCAGGAGGAAGTGAAATCGGGATTGTTTCGGGAGAAATGAGTTTGAAATCCGGAAACGACTCCATCACTTTGAGACTCTTACATATTATTTTGATCAATTATTTCAAATTGATTTGGTACGTACGTGATGCTATCAATAACAGAGTGTTGAAAGAAAGTTACTTAGATATCAAATTTCTTCATGTCGAGTTATTTCTTTGAGAAATTCTGGTTGAAATTGATCAACTAATCTTCACATGAATTTCATTTTCGGTAAAATCTTGTTGGAATTGATCAAATACTTTGCACTTAGAATTATTACTATGTAAAATTGAATTGAAATTGATTGAATTGTTTGTTTTGAGTTTGTGTACACCATGATGTCTGATTCCGCTTAATTTCATTCGAGAGTTGTGATTATTTGCTTCGGATTAGGCACACATACTCATGTGCATAATGAATTTGAGATTTATTTAAATGGATTTTTTCAATTATGCATAATACTAGCAACCAATAGAAATTAAAATTTTTTCAACATCGTTCAATCAATTACTGATGTGATACACATCATTACATGTTTTTTATTCCATTAATTATCAATCAAAAAACGGAAAAATTATCAAAATAATACATGTAATAAATCTACTAAAACAGATCTATATTGCTTTTTTGAATGAATTTGTATCAAAATGAAATGAGATTAAAAATGTCAAATCGTTTTTATGATTAATTATTTTTTGATATATATATATATATTTATATTTATATTTAACATATAAAATAACAAAAATAATTTTTTTGTCATGGAAATTTAATCTTTTTTTGAATAATATTTTTATAAATAATCATCCATATTGATGTTGGCCTCATTGTTGATGATTTATAATAGATTTTTTTGAGAAATTATACTGCAAGATTTTATGAAGTTTAGATTTATTGCTCCTTACGAAAGTAAATATGCATATAGAAAAAAAAATTGTAATGTCAATGTTCAACCTAGATACAAACATTAGTTAGACATGAATTTATTACAAAAATTTACAATTAATTTCCAATAATTATAGATAGCGTGTTATTTATCAAAACTATAAACATGTCATAAACAAATACTTCATTTGGACCAAAAAATCACAAATTAATATGTCATATGAGTTTCATTCTCATCAATGTAAAACATTTCAAAATCGTAGTGCATAGATGCATGGATACTTCTTCACTAAAAAAAAACTTTATAATAATTTTCTGGAATCTTCTTTATTTATTAAATTACTAAGTTATTTATGTCGATGATTTTTTTAATAATTATTTATTATGTAATAAAATATTATCTTACTTTTTATTAGAAAACTTAAAATTAACAAAACCTCAAAATCTCTCATATAACTTCAAAGTAGTCATAAATCCAAATACGTAGCTTAATCTTCTACTTCATTAATTCGGTCTACTTTCATTTCCTAATCTTTTACTTCATTACAATAATATCCAATTTACATATAATAGGATTTTTATGACTTTTAGCTCAATAATAGGACTTTTAGCTATATATTTCAATTGAACTAAAGTTCAATTGGACATGTAGTTTGTCATTAAATTGGTCTTTCATGCGGATCGATAAAAGGTTTTCACTCTCTACTAATTGGTATCTCTATTTATGCGTAGATGACCGTTCATGTATTCGCCTCGCACTCTGTTCAACGAGCTTCGCAGTAACCACTCCGTCCCACAAATTTTCGGAAGACATGATCGGTCTCATGGCTTCCAGGTACTGCCGACGATGACTTGGCATATGCCAATTTCAGGGCTGGTACTGATACAAAGATCAAGATTGCAATAATGTTGCAAAGGGCGGGTTGTGATTTGCAAGTTACACCTGTAGACCACAGAATTTCTTCTGCTTCAGCGTTATAGAAAAGCATCTTCGTGATTAAATGCATGCACGACACATACTGTGCAATGGAACTGTTGGCTTGAATCCAAAGACCAACCATTGGCTCGAGAGCAGTTTGTCTCTTGCGCCACCTGGACCTCTGTGAGCCATCAGCCATCAGCCATCAACCATCAGGTGTGTGCCAAACCCGAGTGACTAGACGTTTAATCGACGACCAAATGATGCCTACGTCCGCTTTTTGCCTACTCCTTTCTATTCAGGAAACATGATTTTGGATATCTTAGTGTACTTAAGTGAGCCCACTTGAGTTCACACACAAGATTTGCAGCAAATTAGAAGCAAATGGGACACGATCGGGAAGACATTGCATTCTTCAGTTCTTCCCTCATGTGTATCCTCAGATAAGGAGAGATACTTTCATCTTCATGTTTAGTCACTAGCAACAAATTCCTCGTGAGAAGTTTTAGCTGTGAGTTCTGAAGTGTTGAGCCAAAGTCTCGGCACTTTCTGAAACTGTTGCCAGAGGTACAGTACTCCATACTCTGACGATGCTACGGGACTTGAAATCCTGACAACAGGAGTTTCGAAGACTTTATTCTTCAATTACTTACAGCTAGAAACAATAGGCTGCAAGTTGAAATTGTAGTGAAAACGTTAGGCTGCAGGAAACTAAGCTAAACTTGGAGTTTCTCCGCAGTATTCACTTGGTAGTCATATATTACTTTCAGCGAAGACTTCAAGTTTGACCATGAGCAATCGTCATGAGCTCGAAAATTTTAACGAACAAATTACCACTTAGTTTGGGTCATAAGTTTCTCGGATGTGAGAGATTTTATACACGTAGCTTATATGTTAAAAAGCGAATGGCCGATTTGTCCATGTTCATCCATCCTGATTAGCACTTGGCTCATAATGTTCACGTGGTTTATGACTATGTACTTTTATAGATATGATAGCGTCTTATGCACTCAACGTATGGAACTCATGGAATCTTTTCAGCCTTAAACTTAGAGAACTTCCAGCTGTTTCTCTCACATGGTGAAAATCCATCTCTCTCTCGTGTGTTCAATAGAGAACCAGCTTCAAAGCTCACCAATGAAACAAGTTCAGCTGCACTTTTCTCGGCTCAGAGTACCCGGCAGAATGTTCTCACCGAGCATGTGAGATATTGCTTCAAAGGGAATGAATCCAACATTAGCTGTTCCAACACTGTCATTGCAGTGCATGAAAATCTCGGGTCCAACCCTTCATTAGACTAGCTGGTGGTTATCACGGTCGATGTGTTGGAAGTACTTGATTAAGATGTTTTCGAGAAGTATGAAAATACTGCAGATCTTGTCATCCATGGTTTCTCGTCTCCGTCACTCGTGTACTCGGATGCTCAGCACATTTTGAAACTCAAAGCATTGACATTGTGCAGAGAAAACAGTGGCAAGGCTTGTGGCAGGGTCGACGTTTGGTGGGGCGAATTATGTGTAACCGATTTGGGGTTTCCGTTCTAGTTGATTAAACGAGTATGTTTCGGAGACACCCCTTACGTTCCTATATCCCGATCCACCATCTTCATATATCTGAAGCAGAGAACATTCCTCTCAGCGAAGATCAAGAGATCGGGAGGCCTACTCGCTCTACCTTTGTCATGGACATGGACGTTTGTAAGGGCATGATGCTTCGGCTTCTTTCAAGGAATCCCTCGGAAGGAGGTGAAGATTACTTCTCTGGCCAGGGCATGGGGAAGACGGTAATGCAGTGGGACAAATGGCCGTCGAAGGCGTCTTCTCACACCAAAGGGCAATGGTCCGCAAGCCCCTGCCTCCAGCCACGTCGTTCATGACACTTGGATTCAAACGTGTCCATTGTCCTCCTGGCACCTGACTCAAAATGTTACCATTTGATTTCAACTTTGTCAGTTCACTCTGACCACAATGTCGACGAGTCACGCCGAAAGAAAAGACCGACGTCTTGCCCTGTCCTGGCATGGCCTGCTCTATCTACTGTAAGCATGCAGAGTCCAATTCTCCCTAGAAATTCTGCAACAATCGTGCTGCACCGTGAGGTATTTAATTCTTCTTCTGGCGAATCCATTTCTTCACACAGCAAACCAGAACAACAGAAACCAGGTGAATTTCAGCAGATTCCTGCATGAATCCATCCCATCAAAGAATGTCTTTCCTATTTTTGCATGAGGACTGTGGGCATGCACATGCGTATCTCGGTCACAAGCTTCTTCAACGATGAATTTCTTGCTCCCGGTCGTCCCCTCAGTGTTTGTGAAGGCAGGAACAAGTAGACCCCATTTCCGCACGAGCTGGCTATGGCTCATGTTCATGCTCAGAAGATTTTCTCATCACATCACTGTGGGCATGTATTACAATACACTTGTTCAAGTTTCCCAATGGTCTTCTACGACCTGAAAGGTCAGAGAACCATACGAGCATTGACGGGATACACTTAAGCTTCCAGAGCAGAACGATTTCTGTGTGCTGGCCAACTGTTCCCATGTTTCTCACCCCAATCAACTACGTCGGACATGAGATGAGCGGAAGGAGCAACCTTGACGCTAAGTGCTCCTACAATTTGCATGTGGCTTTGAACCCAATCGATTGGAGGGAGGGAGGGACTCCAAATCCTGATACTAAAACCTTTTGATCCGTTAAAGCTCGAAAAAGAATGTCGTGCTGTATCCACCCAAACCTTGTCACAAAACCAAAGACTTGCTTTGATTCCACAGAGCAAATGAAAACACTTTCGTCCTGACCCTTTCCAACTTTGAGGCTGCAGCCTCCCCGAATCATCTGTTCCAACAGCGGACGAAGAGATGTTGTCGTGTCATATTGTGTCGTGAGCGTTCAACAAGTCACCATGCAAGTGAGCCTTGCACGAGAACGAGGGAGGGTCACGAAGCATGTCGGACAGTCGACAGTCATCTCAATGCCTTCCAGAACCTCATAATCTGTCCTCCTGCTCGATGTTCGTTCGTTCGTTTCATCTTCAAATGGTTGAAGTGGCTACAGCCAGCCCGACATGTCATCGAGGTCCTTGAACTCCGAGAGGGACGAAGGAACGGGGGCCCATGGGATCTCTCTCTCTCGGGTTCACTTCACGGTCTCCAAGACCCGGAGCAGACGGGAGGAATCAGCGGTTCGGAACGAAAGCGCGGATCGAGAACGAAGGCCGATTGGGGAAGAACCCCTCGGCCGTCACGTGGACAAGGGCCCAGAAGACGTTAAACCCCAGGCGTCATGGTGCTGAAGAGCGATTGGGCCGCGGGTGGTGACAGGGCCGGGGGGACGGAGGGCCTGTGGCGTGCTGCATGCACGGTCAGCGGCCGTAGGTCGGGGGGCTGCGCTCGTGGATACCGTAGCACGCTCTCGTTCCTTTCTTCGTACGGGATAATATTAAAGGGCCCGAAGCCTGGAGAAGGTACGTGCCCTCTCTCGAGCTTTCGCCACCTTGTCAGTCCGATACTTCATCCACTGCAGACATCGCCCGCAGTCACAGACACAGACACCCTCCGACCCGATCGTCGAGCTTCCACTCATCGATCACGACGACGACGAGCAATCCCGTCCTCCCGTGGACGAGAATTCGTTCTACTCTTCTTCGAGCAAATCACGGACTTTCGCAAATTACCGCAACCACTTGATTTCGTGCTCAGAGCCTCTGCCCTTTCCATCGGCCGCCAGTGAGGCTGATTCAGGTGATTGATGATCAAATTGAACTGAACTGAACTGAATTGAACTGAACTGAGTTCTAGTGCAGGATTACTGTCGGTGAGAGTGCTGTCATTTAATCTGTTACTAGTCAGTAGGATCGTCGGTTGAATTTTCTGGGCCAGGTTCGGCTGGGCTCATTGTCGTCAACGTAATCAATTTCTGCTCATTGTCGCCAATTCTCTGCGACGTTTGAACTCTGAGAATCAGTTGAACATATCATGGCTGCCGTCGCTTTGATAAGAGAATTTCCAATTGCATTGGGGAGCTGTCATATCATTGAGCTGTAAGGTGGTCGCTGGCATGTGACATCCATCGAGGCATGAAGCGTGAAGGTGGACGACTGTCAATCGGGGGAGGTTGTATGCATCGCATATGCAACCTGCTGGAGCTCACAGCAGTCGCTTGTCTATCGATGTCTGATGGTTTTGTGGGCTGAAATTGGACAGGAGGATGGCTTCAGCATCTACGCTTCATGTGCTTCCTGCTTCTGATTCTGCTTCCGGAGCAATTCCTGTCACCTCTAACTCGACGACACGACATGTCTGCGGTCTAGCACGCTCTCCGTTGCTCCCGCAGAGAAGGCAAGCAGCAGTCCTGCAATCGAAGGTTCGTACGGCCTTCTCATACATTGTCCTATGTCGTGGTTCAAACCCGAGCACTTTATTCTCCCGTAAGCTCGCTTGATGCCTTCGAGCCCAGATCATAATATCACATCCCCTGCACATCGAAATTGGCCAGTTTCTGCCACTTTTAGATCTCTGCGATTCCTTCATCTCCACCTCCGCGTCTCCAAGTAGGCAGGCATGCACGCACGCACTGGCCACCATCCACTGCTCGGTTTGAATCGGTTGACTTTGCCTACAGTCAAGGAATTGCAGCATTTTTTACTCCGATGTCATCTTTAGAGTGGTGACTGTTGGTTCTGCCACATGTGAATGACTTCATGCGGGCCGCAGCCTTTTCGACTGTGTGCAGTAGATGCACAGAGATTCCGGAATTTGGTGCTTACCCGATATGGAATGTGCAGATTTGGGGCTGCAAAGTGCGAGGGGAAAGTCGACAGAAGTTGGATCTTAAGCAGACGAATCTGCGGCAGTTCACTGTCGCTGCCAAGGAAGAGGATGATGGCAAGCCTTCTAAGTCACCCAGTGCCTTGATGGAGGAGGAGGAAAAGAAGAAAGACGAAGGTGCTAGTCCAGAGCAGAATGCGGGTGAGAAAGTGGACTGGAGAAAAGACGAAGACATGAAGAAGTTTTTAACCAACCCGTCCATAGAAACACTGCTGAAGGTGGAGTCGAAGAGGACCGAGCAGAGGCTCAAAGAGCTCGAGAGTCTTCAAGACAAAGGAAATGTGTTCACCGACTTTTTTAACAACTTGACCAAGAGTAACCTCCGCCGAGAGAAGGAACGATTAGAGAAAGCTCAGGAAACCTTCAAAGCTTTGGATATCGGCAAGGTATGTTCCGGAATATGCGATCTTCGAAGAATTAAATGCTGGGACCTCCTGGCTACCGTTTCCCTCGTTCAATAGGAGGTACCCAGAACTCAATCGGATGTCTATTTTCGATTGTCAAACAGATATTATTCGTCTCCTCCTTTTGGGCTACATTTGTTCACAACATGAACTAGTTCACAATGTACATACAAGCTATTCGGATTATCATCTTTCCAGCGTCAGATGTGAAGTCGGTAGTTTACGGGAGTTGCCTTCATCTCGTCAAAAAGGTCTTATGGTTCTCATAACTTCTGTACATTCCACCAGCAGCAGCTCCCAGGCAAGCCTGCATCAGATACGACTCAGCATGTCCTGTCTAGCAACACATAAGTATACAACATGATCACTGATTTGAACTTTTGTCCCAGAAACGCCATTTTACGAACATGTCTGAGTGAGAAGTCAAGAGGGCATTAGTCGTAAGAGCCTGGACAGTTGACATCCGCTACTGCAGCGAGAAGAAACTTCAGTCATGTCTAGTTGAAACACGTGCACCATATTCGTTAAAGCGTCATATTCGTTTAAATATCATATCATAGTGACGGACTTCCTTCACAGTTTCAAATCAAGCTTACAGTCGCTGTTTGAGTTTGAGCAAGTTTGAGCACATCGACATCAACAGGACAGACAGGAGACACCCGATGTAGAGATCCGGGGTTTTGGATTTTGCGCCACGAGATATGAATGTCGCTCCTCTGCCTGACTGCAGCGTTGTTTGCTGTGGATGCTGATACAGCTGAAGAGCGTCTTTGGTTACGACTCGTTTTATGCAACCGACGCCAGACGGTTCGGAGATGGAGCAATCTTTGTGGGAAACATGCGAAAGCCATTGGACGAGGTGAAACCCAAACTCGAGGCTAAGCTTTCGGAGGTGGCGGGACGGGAAGTGGACATCTGGTTCATGGAGGAAACTCCAGAGCCCGGAGTCACAAAGCAGGTAATGCTCCCCATAACATGACTGATTCGTTTCGAGCAAAAAGGTGGTAATGCTTCCGAGCTTTTCAGTGTTCCTGATACGAGTAGTCCTATGCTGCAGATCTGCGTGGTCCAGCCAAAAGTGGAAATAGACTTGCAGTTGAGCGCTGAGAAACTGAGCACCCCCTACGGATATCTGATATCGGCGCTCCTGGGAGTGACAACTCTGAGCACCATCGCTCTGACGAGCGGTTTCTTTCTACCAGCCTACGCTACTTTCGATGATTACGTATCTCGGGTGCTGCCACTCTTTGCTGGTTTCGTAGCTATCATCACCGCTTCCGAGGTAACAAACAACGCTTGGCAAGAGTCCTATTGCTCAAGCTCCTACACAAACAGAATTGTGCACTCTGAAATCCGATGATTCTGCAAAATGGTCCCTGCTGCTTGGTTGGTTTGAGCTCTTGGCGGCCATAGCCGAAGCTCCCAATGGTCGAAGATTGACGTGCCCGAGTATCATGATTTCAGGTCGCCACCAGGTTGACAGCTGCAAAATACGGAGTGAAGCTCAGTCCATCATTCCTGATCCCGTCCACTTGGACCGGGTGCCTTGGAGTACAAACCAACTTCGAGTCGCTGGTGCCCAGCAAGAAGGCACTTTTTGACATTCCAGCAGCCAGGATCACGAGCGCATACCTAACTTCCTTCGCCGTGGCGCTAACGGCCTTCGCCATCGATGGCAGCATCAACGGAGGCGACAACGCATTGTAAGGGTTTAGAGTCCTTGAGTCCGTCCTTGTCCGGATGGACGGGTCGAGGTCGTTTGTCAACGAGAAACTTTTCGTTTTCGTCCAGGGCTTGTTGTTGTTGTTCCACTGCACCAGAATCGTTGTGTCCTGAGCAAGAAACCCTTCCCTGTCTCTGAAGAAATATAATTCTACTTTTTTAATCTGGTGTGGTGCAGGTACATCAGACCGCAGTTCTTCTTCAGCAATCCTCTCTTGTCCTTTGTGCAGTACGTCACCGGCCCATACACCGATGAACTGGGCAATGTTCTGCCCCAAGCTGTGGAAGGCTTGGGAGTGCCAGTTGACCCTCTGGCTTTCGCGGGATTGCTAGGTACTCCCGATCCTCTCTCGTCGAGACTTATTGCACACTGTCAGACGGATTGTGAGACAGCTCTGTTCTAACATGGAATGTTGGCTGGCAGGGATTGTGGTCACTTCTCTGAACATGCTGCCGTGCGGGAAGTTGGAGGGGGGACGAATCACGCAAGCGCTCTTCGGAAGAAGACAAGCCAAGCTGCTGTCATTTTTCACATCCTTGGCACTGGGAGCTGGAGGATTATCGGGCAGTGTTCTGTGCCTGGTCTGGGCCTTCTTCGTCACCTTCTTCCGTGGCGGTGAAGAGCTTCCTGCACAGGACGAGATTACGCCCGTCGATCAATCCCGCTACGTATGGGGTTTCGCTCTTGCCCTCATTTGTGCCTTGACCCTCTTTCCCAACAGCGCTGGCACCTTCCCCAGCCCCCTCTACACTCCTCCCTTCTTCAGAAACGACTTCTAGCCCTGTCGTCGATCTCATACTACTCGCCTGACAACGAGTCAACTGGTTCTACCATCAACACCAAAACCTCGGCCATCACAAGCATCCCTCAGAGCTCGGAGCTCGTACCTTCACTGTCAACTAACTACTCCTCGAGTCAACTGCGCCACCCGGGTGCGAACGAGAGTGTACTGTCCTCTCCATCGAGCTCGTAGTGGAAGAGTGTACAATAGAGCGCGTGTGTAAATTATGGAGACGCTGCAGTATTCCTAGGTCAGCTTTTTGTTTCATTCAAAACCGAATGAAGGTAGTACCAGAAGGTACAGCTGTAGATGTGAAATTCTATGTTATAAAGTGGAAGTATCATTGTACAAATTTCACGATGTTATAAAGTTATTATGAGAGACAGAACAACCGGATGCATCCTCTCGGCAGCACGAAACGATCGGATTGGCACCATACGCCATTCATTCTCTGTGTCGGAGTATGGACTTATCCAGCATCTGCTATTAATATATTATACCTGCCGAAAGGATTGAATCCAGAGCACATGCATTCCCAGTCAGTTGGCCATTGCCTCAATCAGTTGGGCATTCTAGGCTCCCATATAAAGAGCAGAAAGTTCGTTTTGTTTTAATCGTCGTGCCACATTTGTCTCCTTCTACATTTAGGCAATAAAATTCCCGAACTGAAACCATGCGAAACCGCATTGCCATCATGGCTGTGAAAGAAATTAATACGAGCGAGTAAAAGCGAACCTCGATATGCGCCATGTACGAAGATAAGCACCAGACGATTGTTTACCTATCGACTTGACGAAGTAGGGAAGGCGTATCGTATTCTGGCAGGAAACGAGGACGTCGAATGAACATTGGAAAAAAATCGTAGCAGGCAAAGTAAAGCTGCAAGAATAGATGTTGGGAAACTTATCGTATGCACAAGAAAAGCTCGTGAGTGAGTACCCACTTCTGATCGTATCGTCCTACCGAGTCTCTGCTTATCTGGTTTGTTGGGTCGTAAAAGCGGGCGCATCGGGCCCACCTTCCTCTTCCTTCCGAATCCGTACTCTGGGTCCCTATCTTCTAACCCTGCGCTCGCAACCAGATCTGGCGTCTTGCCTCCCAAAGTGCAAGGCGCGACTTCCTTGTTGGGAAATTTCGGATTCATGTGCAATCCCCGGGCAGCGAAGCAAGCTCAAGCTCAGCTGAGGATTGCCTCGCGGGTTGTGATTCTCCACACTTTCACTTCAAAGGTCGTTATCGAACAACCACCAAATCTGTTGTTACCTGGCTATGGATGGACCGAACCCTCGGCCACCCCATGACGATGACGCTTTGGGTGGGGGCGGGGGTACATGGCATCTCGCGGAGAGGGTCGAATCATGGCACCGATCGTTCAAAGGGCTTTTTCTTCATTCATGCTTGGCGTCCGTCCATGTGGCGGAAGTGGTCCCCGTGCAGGTCCGGGATCGAGACGGAGCGCAACAGAGATCCCTTTCACGAGGCCTCGAGCGTCCTCGTCGCGAAGAGGAGGACGGACGGAGCGCAGTAGTTTCGGCGGTTGATGGCGATGCGAGCGAGCTCACGAAGTAGTTGAAGGTGTGTACTTTTGGCACAGGATTCTGATGGAAGGTCCACGCCCGGCCAACGCTGATGATGTCAGTCGGTTAGGACATGGCGCGATCTCGCTCTGGACAAAGACAGCCTCTGCGAGCTCTGGGACGGCCAGGCCTAGCTTGACCTCTCCTTGATGACGACGACGACCTGAGGCCGATGGAGGATCCTAAGATTCGCCGCTGTCAAGCCTCCGTGAGCGCTCCTTTTCTCCTTTTTCCGGGTTTCCTGGTCTCCTGCCCCTCCTCGTCCTCTGCCTTGGGAATTAAGAAATTCGAGCCTGCCAGGGGCAGGTGGATGGCGAACGAAGGCGACTAGAAAGCCTCGCGGGCCTCGGAGCAATTCCAGCATCTGCGCCATTCACTCACCGCGCTCGATTCTCAGCGACCGAGGCTGCTCCCTCTGCTTCCGACCCCCGGCTGGCTGGGCTGTGCACGCATTCTCTCATCAATGCGGTATACGAGACCTTCGATCCTTCGAGTAGTTGGCGTCGCCGATGTTCGTTGCAAGCTCAACTGGATCATCGATTCCATTCGCAGTCGCAACGTGAAATTCAAGAAATACCTCGAGCCCATCACCTCGGACACCAGAGGCGCCGGCGCCAGCGCCAGCTGCTGATCCTGCCGATTGCCATCGCGCTCGACCACCGGTCGAGGCCCGAGCGGATGGGCCTCGAATTCCGAGGCGCCAGCTGAAGGGTCGCGGGGATTTGGCAATCGCAAGCGAGCTGAGAGAAGTCCATGGGCAAGCTGCGCAGTGGAGTGGTCAGCTGGTGGGACGGGATTGTGGACATGGGTTCTTCAGCCAGCGAGGCCTTCCATGACTTCGGGGCGGCCTTCTGCGTGCTCCTGGCTGCGCTCTATGCGCTCACTTACAAATGCGTCGGGCTGGTTTTGTGGATTGCTGCGGGATTCGGCGAGCTCTTCGCCGATCGATGGACCGACATCTACTCGAGCTTGCTTAGCACTGCGCGCGCGCTGCAGAAAGTGACGGCCGATCTCACGGAGGTGTCGTTGAATTTGTGGGACGATCTTATGGAGTCCTACGAGGTGACAGTGGACGCCATCGCCGCGACGTTCGAGGACCTGTTCGAGCTCGGGCTCGCATCGCTAGCGGCGCTAGGCCACTCGGCGCAGCGCCTGCTGGCGTCGCTCCTCGGCTCGGGCATCGTCCGCTTCGAGGCGCTGTGGGAATACGCCGACACGCTCGTCGTGCCGGAGGTGACCCAGGCCTGGGCGGGCGCGCGCCGTCGCCTCGGCCTGCCGCGCGCGGGGCCCGGCCTGCGGCAGCTGGTGACCGACGCGCAGCCGGTGCTGGAGAAGCTGGCGGACGCGAACCACAAAGTCGTGTTCGGTATGTACTGCGCCTTCGTGCTCGTGGTGTGGTTCGTCCTGGTGATGAGCGAGAACGAGGGCATGGTGACCGGGTTCCTGTTCGGGCTGGTGAACGGGTTCGGCATGATCCGGTTCTGGGCCTGGATGATGGCGCGGAGACAGGCGCAGCGGACGCGGGCCCAGGTGCAGGCGCACGCGCTGGCCGCCTCGCCGCCCGCGCTGGTCGCGGAGACGCTGAGCGCCGGGAAGACGGCGGGCGCGGCGCTGGAAGGCTTCGAGAAGGTCGAGTGGCTGAACCGGCTGCTGCAGAAGGCGTGGCCGTCGCTGGCGTCGGCCATCGAGGAGCAACGGCCGCGGCTGCGCGACTTCCTCGAGGCGTTCCTCGAGACGTACCGGCTGGGCGTGTTCCAGGTGATCGGCGAGGACGAGGCCAACCGCAAAGTGGAGCGCTACATTCCGTCAGGCGAGACTCTCACTTCCCTGCACCTGAACGATCTGAACCTGGGTTCCGCGGCGCCGCAAATTGGAGGCGTCAAGCTGCGCGGGCTGCACGATAACAAGATGGTGATGGACGTGCGGCTGGTGTGGGAGACGCGGGCTCTGACGGTGGGGCTGGGCGTGGGCACGACGGACGGCGTTCTGCGGGTGCAGTTGGAGAACCTTCGCGTGCTGGCGACGGTGCGCGTGCAGTTCTACTTCGTGGAGCAGCCGCCGTTCGTGTCGGTGCTGGTGCTCTTCACGCCGTCGAAGCTCAAGCCCGTGATCCACTACAAGCTGAGCCCGGACCAGGATGCGCTCGAGCACCTGCAGCCGGTGGTCATGCGCAAGCTGCGCGAGTTCATCTACGACAGCATCTCAGACTCGCTGCACTGGCCCAATCGCCTCGTGGTCATCCCGACCTGGGCTGCCACGCCCACCATCAACGTCGACGACCTGCAGCTGAAGCCACACGGCCAGCTCTGCGTGACCGTGCTCCGGGCAGAGAATCTGGTGAATCTGTATCCGTATGTGCTTCTCTACATCCGGGTCCGCTTCAAGGTGCGCACCAAATCGATCGAGAACACTCCCAACCCGGTCTGGAACGAGGAATTTCTCCTGGATGCCGAGGACCAGGCGTCTCAGAGTCTGATCCTGCAGGTGATGAACGAACCCAAGGGCAAGGACGCTCTGATCGGCGTGGCCACGTACCCTCTGGCCAAGCTCGAGCCCGACAAGGACTTCGAGCTGGAATTGCCCGTGCAGACGGTGGAGCCCGAGTCCGATTCGCAGGATGGAGGCACGCTGCATGTGAATCTCAGATATCATGTTTACACCAAAGAAGAGCAAGATGCAGCCATGGCTGCCGAGAAGCGCCTCGAAGAGGCCCTGGCTGCGCCCGAAGCTCCCGAATCCTATGACACTGCTGTGGAGCTGCTCCACGGTTAGATTCAGCTCGGTGATTCTATCGACTCTGGACTGTATATAGATCAGAAGAAGCAGCAAGGAATGGCGTGGGTACACGAGCTTGTGTAAAGTGTAGTATAGTGTAGTGTAATGCAGTGCAGTGCAGTGTTGTGTACAGGAGGGAGAGAGAGGGAGAGAGAGTAGAGTAGAGTCTACGGATGATGATGCTGCAGAGAGGAGAGCAGGGCAGTGGAATCTATTGGCATCTAGATGGTGTACCCTGTTAACTGCACGAGTGAAAGTTGCCTGCTCTGAGTAGTTTGTAGTTTGTAGCTTGTCATGAATGTATCCATGCTAGTCTGAATCGCCTAACTTCACCCCAGTTTGAAATATATCCATACTCCTCCGACGCATGCTCAGCTCAGCGTCAGGAGAATTCGCAATATGATTTCGCAATTTCGTCGTCGTCGACATGCAATTGTGATCAATGAGAAATTCTATTCTTTCTAGGAAGATGCACATACGTTGACTGACAGCCTAACTTCAAGCATGCAAAGCTCTAAGATTTGGAACGTGGCTTGCATGTGAAATCCTCGGCAGTCTACGAGGAGCTTGGCTGACATCAGTGGAATGACTGTCGAGAGAAGCATAAATTTGCAATATGCCGTGGACCCACAAGTTTGATATAAATTGTTTTGGATCCAACCCGTGGGGTCTCTCAACTCACTCAAGACAGTACATATGTCTTTGCCCAAGATCCTTGGAGACTTTCTGCTGAAGGAATGATTACACTTCAGGAAGTGGATTGGCAATTTACCGTATACTCCGCCATTATCAAACAGTGTATGCAGATCAGAGTGAGCTTCAAACAAACATCGGAAAAACAACAAAGAACTTGATCATATCTGGAGTTTCATCGACTTCAGGAGTGAAGAGTCCGTTGCAACTTAACCCCTAGTCCAGGTGACATCAGGCTCTTCCGAATGGGCGCATTGTCTATGCATCCAGATGACTTTTGATGTAAGCTGCTTCATAGTGGAGATGATGGTGGTCGAAAGAAGAAAGTAAAACGTTTTCAGCTGAAAGAAGTTTGAGCTGTTTTGAGCTTTTTCAGAATTGGGAGGCCGCTTTCTGACAGTACTGGCAGTTATGGACGCTTGGACCTGAAAATGCAGGCCGACAGTATAACATCTAACATTTGGACCAACTGAAAGCCAGAGGAGCCGAGAGTGGGAGGGAGGATGATTACCTGCGAGCTCGAGCAACATTCACAACTCAGGGTGGTCCTTGTATACGCACGACCCGAACTAGGGACTTGTAATATATGGACGGGACCTGTTCGTGGTCACTGATGTCCGCCGGATTTTCGTAGATCAATCTGACAGCACTCGGGCGTATTATTCATCTCACAGTCAGACTGGAAGTCACTCCAGTTCTCTTCGCAGGGTCGAACGCGAGTCAAACCAAAACCAGAAGTGAAGTGAGCGAGTGAAGAGCTGGAGATGGTTGACGACTGTGTTTGGCGTCGTGTCAGGCAAGGCAAGACATCAACGACGCCATCAACGACGTGCAGCCGGCGAGAGGAGAAGCGGAAGCCCCCGAACCAAATTATACATCGATGGTCTTTACGTACCTACCGAGCTATCATTCTCACCGTTCTTTGGTCTTTCCTCGTCGTGCATGGGCAAGTCTGAGAATATTCAAGGTCGACAAATTGTAGCTCGGATTCAGCGATGGCCTTGCAATGATTCTGCTGTGGGCAGGACGGTAAATCGAAGAGCAAACCAACATTCGGCTCCGTTCGTTAAAGCCCACGTGCTCGACTGGGTCGTAACAGCTTCCAGGAATCGACCTCTGAGGTTTGACAGACAAGACGTCGACGGATGTTCGCCTTTGATGGGAGGCTGAAGCTCTGAAAGCCCATTGTGGGAACTTCGATTGGGCTCCTGTATTATATTCTCCTCCAAAATATGAGTCAAGCATCTGTCAGAGTCCAATACTACTGCGTAGTCGAGCCACCCTTCGTGTTCTATCCACTCCCGTATAACTCAATCCTGTCATTCAGTACGAACTGAACCCAGATCAACGTCGTCTCGTCAACCTCCAACCGGTTGGATTGACGACGCTGAGTACGTTCATAGACACTTGCATTTTCGAATCCTTGCAAAGTCCGGTGGTGGAACACACTTTTACTGCAGAACCCCCTGTAGTAGTTCGGTTTTCTGTGTACACTTCAAGGGAGGGAATAAAGTGAACCTGCACATCCAGGTTACGCTCAAGATGGGAACCGGATCGATAAAATATGCCTGTTAACAGGCTTGGGACGAGGAGTTTTCTTTTGAAGTTGAGGGTCAGGCGTCTCAGAGTCTGGTCACGCGGATGAGGACTGAAACAAGGCCCGAAGACGCTCTTATTTTAGGCGTAGTGACGTACCCTCTGGCAAATCTCGAGAAGTGCAAGATCTACGACCTTCAATTGTCAGTAGGGTCGATGAAATCGAGTTCACAGGCAGAAGATGGAGGCACGCTGCACGTTTGAGTGGTAGCGCTTACACGAGGTTTTGTCAAGCACGGCCAGTAGAATCTGTGGACGATGATGTCGCCGGATGAATGGCAAAACCTCTGGCATATGTACGGTATAGTAGGATGAAGACACGGGAAAGGTTCCTCTAAGCTTGTAGCTACATCATTAGTATCCATGCTAGAAGCAGTATATCACGTTCGAATCCACTTAAGGGTGAAGTCAACTTAGTCCAATACTGTACTTGTTCTGGAGGACCGGACGGTTTGGCAATTGTACACTGAAGAAGTGAATGGTCAAATAAGAAAATCCCAGCGCTGAAAGCTATGTCTGATAGTGTGATGGAACCGAAACCAATGTAATGAAATCACGAGGGCAAGATGAAAGAATAATGCGTTTTAGACTGGCATAGCTGATGAGACCGGCTCCAGAGGATGATACATGACAGTTTCTATGGCGGCACGCTTCTGAGACACTCGGGCAGCTGATGCAGTCACAGAAGAACTGCTTTTCAGTTTGGGTTTATCGTCTGAGCTTCAGACAATAAAAAGATTCAATCTTACGATGCTGCTTTCGAGAGAAGTTAAAATCGTATAACATAGGGGATTAGCATGTCCCACGTGAACTCGAGTGGTACAATGTGCAATAATTCTTCATTCACTTCGGTAGGAATGATTCCCACAACACGTTGATCCTAGCTCTTGCAAGTGTACACCTTTATCGAAAACTGCGATCAGAGGGTAAGGTAACCATCCTAGAAAGTACAGAACTGGAGAGGGAAGATAAAGAAGTTGAGAGGACTGTAAGCCTAAGTGAGTTGAGAAGACTGTTAACATGATAACATACCCGTAATCATTGACCAAGAGTATAATTGACGATTGATGAGGTGCTTCTCTTCTATCGAAGCTTCAAATTACAACTGAACACACTAAAGAACGTGAACAACATTGGCCTCGTAGCAAGATGGGTTTAGACAGCATAAAAGGCTGTACCACTTCCTTTACAACAGAGGCTTGAGTCTTTCACATCCAACGCCAGCCATCTAAATTGCCAACCTAGGACGGTTCGGACCGTATAGCCTGCAACGAACAGCCATCACAATTAGATAGAAGAAACTTAGACAATATCGACCCAGCAAGTCAGCTGGCGTCCAACCAAAACAGACGTAAAAGCCAAGAAGAAACGAAGAAGACACTTGATGAAGCTTTACAATGGAATTTTTATGACATACACCGAGTGATAACACACAGATCCTGAACTATTTTACCCATTGAGACATCATTCGTGCAGGATCCAGCTAGAATTACAGCCCTAATTGTCCATATTAAAAAGTAAGACGAACACGACGAATATTCAAATATAGAACATGACCGACAGCGAACATCGCACTCTACTATTTGGTCTGCTGAAGTTTTTTCAAAGCATACGAGTATTAGGACTGAAACGAAGCTGGATTGGAATTTTTAAAAGACATCTGTCAAGGATGGTACAGACCGGAAGCGTGTACTGCAAGCTCTGCAGGACACCACCAGAATTCATAATACAGCAAATATCGTAAATCTAATAAATCTCACACAGGACCCGCATTCAAGTGATTGCAGGCCAAAAACTTGGCCTCAAATCCATCATACATACTGACTCTTTGAGCGTCATTGCCTTTATTTGACGCAACGATGAGGAAAATTCATGACGACAATATGCTGTCTTCAATCGAATTTCGACTGGAGTAACTGTGAATATAACGTTTATTCCAACTTAAAGACGTACATACTTGCCAAGAAAATGACTGAAACGCCCGTTGAACAAGTTTGCCCTTTAGTGGTGATACACGACATAAGATCCAGCACTTCTGCTCGACACTAAAAGGCTAAAAGTACCGAGACTAAAGACAGGAAATCAAGAAGTTGCAAAAAAAGAAAGAATCAGGAAAAGAGAAGGCGACTGATCACAGTTGTAGAGTCTATGAAGCTCAAGTTTCCAAAGGCATGTCAAGCTGTAGGGATGACACGCTATGATGCCTAAAACTTCTAGATGTGAAGCTAGCTAGGGTTTCAGAAAGTGAGAGATCAACGTACTTCCGAGCATGCTGTAAGAAGCAAGCTAAAGAGCAAATTCTGAGATGCAGCTGCGATATTTGGCGCCCTGAGTTTGGAAATCCCATGGGCAAGAGAGCTTAACGGGACCAGAGAATGAGAATAGATAAAGGCCGAGAGTAACTCCCAAGGATCGGTGGAACAAAGAGATATAATCCTGAGCAGTTTGAGAACAGGAAGGATGTAGGAGATACGCAGAACAGAAAAAACAAGAATGCTTGAACCAATGGCGTTGGCAATTGGTTCGAGCATTCTCGTATTTTCATACATGCACTGACCATACATGGATCAACCACACTCTGGAAAATAATAATAAATGCTTGACATCCGAGGTATTGAAGCCATTGTGTATTTCGTTTCGAGCCGCTGTTGGCCGTAGCCCCGACACAAAAGCGCAACGGGTGAAGAACGGAGTAGGTTTTCCGACCACACAGTAAATCTGGACGTTACGAAATCAGCAGGGTTTCAGAAGTGATTTGGTGCAGAACAACTGAAACAAGAGTTTCAGAAAAATTTGAGGGAATTCCATCAATGCGCCTCTGAAGAACACGTGTGTGGAAAAAGTCTGCAATATGAGCCGAGCGAACGAGCAAACCAGCGACATTATACCTCGAGCACAAGCGAGTGAGTCAGGAGCGTGCCTTCAAGCACTGGCTTTGGCAGCGCCGCATACAAATGTCGTTCCAGTTGGGGACATGGTGGGCGTTGGCACAGACAGAGCGACCGCACGCATCGGCACAAGCATCCACCTCCGAAACCCCACAAACCGTAACACAAGTATCGGGAGTGGGGTCTTTGGAAAATGCCCCCACGCGATTCAGCATCCGCTTCGACGTGCACACTCTTTCGCACACGAACGAATCCGTCGAACTCTTGCTATCACGCCCTCGCAATTGCTCCTCCTCCGACCGCCCCCTGGTCCGCGCAACCTGGCGCACCACCAGCGCTGGCACCACTGCCCCTACCACTCCCCACCACCATTCCACCATCTCTACCCACAACCGAATTCACTCGTCAATCCTGCCCGCCCGCAAATCCTGCTCCACCCAACTCCCGAATCGTCCACAAATACGCCCTCCTCGCTCCCGCTGCCTGGCCTGCCTAGCTCCCTCTCATTCGTACGTTCGTCCGTTCGGTCGTTCGCGAGCTCCTCCTCGTTCCGCTCCTCTGGACATTCGACAGCGGGAGCAGGAGTGGGAGGGGCTGCAAGGTCCGATTGCGGCACATTTCCCAGCCTCGCCTCTCGCCTCTCGCCCCCGAACCATCCGTTGGACGGGAGACGGAACGGGGAACGGGGAACTTGGCAGCCTCTTTGTGCCTCTACTGGACCTTCATATCCGTCCGACCGCATCCTTCCTTCCTTCCACGTTTCCGTCTGGCCGCGCAGCGCCTGAGTGTCCAGTCGGATGGTTCTTGGGATCCAAGAGCTGACGCCACGTGTGGGCGTCGAGCTTTCAGTCAGACTCGAATGGCACAGCGAGTGTCAGCTCAGCTCAGATCACTTCAGCTCAGCCCTCTGATCTGCTCGCTTTTCATCGTTCATGTGAATGACTGAGACTGATACGCGAGAGAGATCTTCGTATCTCCCGGTCTCGCGTGCAGGATGAGTCTTTCGACTTCGGATCAGCTCGGAGGCCATGGGCATTCGAAGCTTTTGACGGCAGAAGGAAGGGACTATTGGGAGACAGTGGCCATTTGCACGGACCTTCTTTCTTTCCCCGCCTGCACGAACCAGGGTCACCGACAAGACGAGGGCAAGAGCCCCGGCTCTTCTGATCAAAAGCTCAAAGCATACCAAAAGTCTCCTGGGCTTGCACGTTCGTTCAAAGGCTCATTTGGGAGCTTTTCAGCCGCCCGGTAGACAGAACCTTTCTTGAGGGACGGCAAGTGCTGCAAGTCAGAAGTTCAAGCTACTGTCATCCCCTTCCTTTGCATATCTCACTACGCCTTCCCATATTAAATTAGTCTTCCCTTTCAGAGTTGCGTGTCTTCGCACCACAGCGTTTCATTCCTCTCAAATACTGGTTCCTGTGAGAAAGTAGGTGTTCTGCCATGAGGATAAGGTCATTCTTTTGACCCGTCGTACATTATCCTCTAATGCTATCTCACCGCTTGCCTCTATCGAAATCAGTTTGCACCGCCGATGACTGCTTTGTTGACGAAGTACGAGGTAATAGGGTTGTTCATTTGCTGGCTTGATCACCTTACCCAAATCTTTAATTGAAATATTCTGTACATAGATGGTTGACCTTCACCACTCTGCATGTCTTGAGGCTTCACCAGATTAGGACTTATCTCAGCACACATTCCCGATTGTTCACCTAGCCCAAGACGTATGCTGCCTCTGGTGAGGCACTATGTCGAGACTCTATTGGTTGTAACTTTTCTTCACTATTATCCAACATAATGATCTTCAAGGATACTGTTGGTAATAACCTTATCCAGCGATCACATAACACTCCAGGTCCTTCAATCTAATGTGCGAGTTGGCATCCTGGCGAGAATCAGATGCGGAAGAAACATATTGAGAGTCCACCTCACGATGCAAGCAATGAAGGGTATCTAAAGCGAAATCTCATGAGACTGACAACAATCTAAAGGACCGCGTTGAGAACTGTCTCCATACTTCAGCTTTGCCTGAGCAACAGAAGCCTCAGACACGACATGACAATTTGTGCATGCTTGACATGATATTCAAAAACCTTAAGTTCATGTTTTAGGTGATCCAGAAACAAGCTTAGATGACAAGCTCAACGATGGTGACATTCAGTAACTCACAGTAATAACAGTCATCAACAAGTATGGACGCATAGAAACCTCATGTAAGGTGACTAAAATAAAATAATGTCTTTGCTCGCCTGTAAGCTGAGTTGAAAGTCTCACAACGACCTACACCACGTGAAGCATGACCTTGTCGTACTGATCAAACTTTAAAATGAGACCTGATGCGAATCTAGCGAGCCTGAGCCACAGGATAAAGTCTATGATCGCAGGTATCTAAGAATAAAGAACTAGTATTTACATACAAGTTCAGCTGAATTCAGCACGAAGTATAGAATCTAAAATTACAGATCAATATAACTCACGTTTGTGAGGAACTTATCCAATTGTATTCGACTAATCACGCCCTACAGAAATGTCGAAGGGTGTCGTCTAATGCTTTTACATCATACTCCCCCGTGAAGACGCAGTTTCCGAGAGGACCTTTGAGAAGAATCAGACGCAGAAGTCCATCGGCAACTTTCTTATCCACCTGCAAGGAAGAAAATCATAAGGCCTGGGTACCAAGCTGTCTCCGAATGATCACCATTGACATTTACATATCACATTGTCTACACGTACAAACCTAACCTCCGTAAGAAAGAGCCCAAAATCTATACCGAGGACCATGAAAGGTTGAAAGCAACTCTCTGCAAGAATAGCCAACAATTCATTTACACACAATACCAACAGTCTCGTTTGCTTGAAAGAATGCACCGAGGAGATGTACAAAAAGCTATGGATACAAAAGGCCAAACTCCGAGGATAGGATACTGGACTTTACCGCCATGATATCCTCGAACAACTGCACGTCCATAGAACCCGGTGGCCTGAGTGGCAACCTAGCCCTGGCAGTGATGTTGTATATTCGCTTGAACAGATCATCGTCAATCCATCCCATTTTCAACGACATGTGCGCGGACATTATCTGCTTGGAAAAAGACAACAATTGAGTCTGTTGAGTACATCATACACTCATTATTGACCATAAATATATGGACGTACTTATTCTGATGACAACAATGATGACTCAGAGCTCCACATTCTAACTGCTCTTGTACAGGTTCGAGGTTTCTACAAACACTTCTGTACAACGGACCCTTGAACAGAAGTAACCGGCAAGTTAAGGTTCAAACAGAAAAGCAAATGAAGGAAAGTCGTTGAAGAGGCAATGAGAAATTATATGCGCATTTCTACTCTACATACCGTGCCCGCAGCCACGGCTTCTCCATGGAGCCAGTTTCCGTATCCAGTTCCGGTCTCTATTGCCTGCAGGATCACGTAACAGCAAACACACATTTCTTCAATTTCGGATGTCTCAAATAGGCTGTCTTCACCCCAAAAAAATTTGTGAGAATTGACTGGTGTGCAACATCACTAGGACATTTCTATCTCATCTTTCCTTTTAAGTTTCTGCGAGCACGGTAGTTGAGAATGTCAAAAAGACCAGTTGATGCTTTGCAAACTGATTTCTCTTCAAGCACCAAGACTAATCTGCACTCGGGCCCAAAATGGTACACAATTCGTGGATTGGATTAAAAGAACTTACGTGTCCAAAGGTGTGACCCAAGTTTAATGTGGCCCGAACGCCTCCTTCCCTCTCGTCTGCTGCAACCACATCTGCCTTGTTCTCACATGACCGTTTGACAGCATACACTAGAGCGCTTGTATCTCTGCAAGTTGCAACGTTACCTTTAGGCAACTAAAAATCTCACACCTTTGCTAATTTGTATCACTTGCTAGAAATCATGCCCACAGCAAAATCATACAGAAGATTCTATGTATACTGTTGTCCGAATGAAAGAGAGAAGAGTAATTACGACGATTTACAAAGAATACTTTGGGCCGAAGGTGGAATTCTCTAATTTCCCAACGGTGGGACATCTACCCAAAATACCGAATGCAGTTACTAAACTAGAACTGTAGCTTCCAGCTCCTTCGTAGCAGACAGATAAAAAAAAAAAATATAGATTTGAATATCTTAGTACCTGTCAAGAATTCTGTCAATGTTCTCTTCTTGCCACTTGAAAAACTCAGCGTCCCTAATCAACCCATACTTGATGACTTCAGCAACTCCAGATGCAAGTTCTCGATCGGGTAATGTGTTCAAAGTGTCTGTATCTACTAACACACACTGTGGCTGGTAAAACGCTCCAATCATGTTCTTCCCCAAGGGATGATTCACACCTGTCTTCCCGCCTACCGATGAATCAACCTGAATGCAGCACACATATAAATGACATCAAGTCTAAAGACAATTCTAATGACGACACTTAGGCTATGGGTACTGCGATGAACAATAACACAGGCTCACCGAGAGACCGTTTCAAGTTTGTATAGAAGATGCTATAATCCTTCAGAGAATAAGCAATGGCATGCACCTATCTATAACCACACAATTTGTATAAAAATCCATTTCATTTCTTTCCCAACTCACTACGTTCCAGTGAATCAACGAGTTTTTAAAATATAGACTGCAAATTATTGTTTAGACCAAAAACAAAATCAAAAATTCAGACCTGAGCCATGAGAGTGGTCGGGATCTGGATGAAGTTAACACCACGCAGGTATGAGGCCGCGGCATATCCGCACATGTCACCGATGACTCCACCACCAAGGGCAATGAATGTACAGCGCCTGTCCATCCTAGTCACTATAGCTTTGTCATATACCTTCATCAAGACCTCCTGCGAACCCACAGAAGGAGCATGTTAAAGTAAGCAGAATCATCCGATAGAATTTCAAATCATGACGGTGGAATCTTCCAGACCTCCTCCCCTTCGAACTAAACTAATAATGGCAATCACTATAATCAACATTCATAAGGGCAATGAATCAAAAATTGCTCAATATCTACCACTAATCGCCATAAACCAAATGTTGATTATTCTCCAGATGACCCACGACACAATATTTCCACGGAACCAATGTCTCCTATCCTAATCAGCTTACCATATTCTTGTACTGCTCTCCGTCCTCTAAGATTACGCTTTCAACTTGCACGTTATTGCCTCCATGCTTCAAAGCAGCTACAACTCGAGACAAGTATAATGGAGCGACTGTCGTGTTGGTCACAACGAGTACTTTCTTCCCATGAACATGCCTGTCAGAAAAAAGCACGGTGTCAGGAAGAAAATATAAACTCGTTGTTAGATCTCGCTAAAAATCGAAACTTAAAGCTAAAACTTAATTCCAGGGTGCAGAAGTCAAACTGTAAGACATGAAGCAAAGTCGACGGCGTGGTAAAGACTAAACCCATCGAATGAGGAGTCGAGGGATTGAAAATGTAGAAAATAATAGAAACCAAACAAAAGCAACACACGCTCGCACTCTACCTCTGAAGCAATTCCGGTTCGTTCAGAAGCCCTTTACCGATGTAGATAGGATAGCTGCGATCTCCCAAATCGACGTTTACCACGGTCGTTTCTTCCTTGGTAGGAGATGCAACATCATTTAAAACCTGTGCTGCATTCGCTCGAATCGCCATACTAAAGTTGCGCCCGTGTGTTGCACCGGCGGCCGGGGCCGAAGCACCAATGTCCGTGCCACTTAAAAACTGGGAGGACCTCAAATGCAGCCTCCCAAAATCTTTCTGCAAGCTCTGCGAGCAGACGACTCTGCTTCCGGCAGACGAAGGAGGACAACGCCTATCGACATCCGCAGCGACGGAAGACGAGGAAGAAATTGGCGTAGAAAAAGATCGGCAGCTCACAGAAGCGACCACAGCCTCCATAACTGCGCCCTCTGCTCCGTCGTCAACCTCCGCCTCGCTCAATTCCTCGACGAAAGACCGCGGTAGACCCCGACGGACAAATTCGCAGCGGAAATGAGCCCTTCCTTGCGTGACTCTCGTGTCGCTCGTGTCGCGCGGAATGGCCGAGCGATGATGACCCGAGCTCCTTCGATGTGCAAGTCGAGCCCAAAGACCATTCGACCGCAGGGCCTCCTCGCGCTCTGTCTCGAGCCTCGCTTCGTGCGCTTTCTTCCTTAGAGCCTGTGCGCCTCTCGTTTCTTCCACGTGATGCCGCTTCTTTATTCGTATTCTATATTTCCGTGTGGATGGGCCGTGCGTCCTACGCTCCGCGCAGTCCTAGTCCTAGTCCTACCCCTGGTCCGCGTCCGCGACCCCGTCGAAGGACTCGCCCGCGCACCCGGTGGGACATAGATCGACGGCATCATGCGCTTTTTTCCTCTGGCGGTTGGTGGGTTCTGCGGCGACGCAAGGTCGAATTTGCGTTGCGGGTTTTTGACGTATTTCCCATTCCTGTCAAGTTTCCGTCCGCCAATCGGACCACCCCAAGCCTCACGGTCTTGGTCTGTCTGTCCCCCCCGGAAACCCGTCAGCTAAACAAATCCGGCGCTCCCCAGGCTTCTGGTTCCGTCTTCCGAATTGTCCATCAGTAAATCCTACTCTACAATTTATTCCTATTTGGCCCCACTTTCACTCACCCCCTCCATAATTCGAGTATTCGCCTTCAAATGCATCTACCGATGAGGAGGAAGTATCCTAATTCCTTATCATAGGGGGAGAGAGAAAGAGAAAGAGACGATGCTTGATTGGACTGCATGATGCATTTGAGACTGCATGATGATTCCATTCAACCTAGCAAAAGGACTCTGAACGCACAAGGAGGACTAGGAACTCGGAGAAAGACATCTGCAAATTTTCTAAACTTTCGCCATGGCTCAATTTGCCACCAAATATCCAAAGTTTCGTTCTGCAAGCTTCTCCCTACTTACCTGATACTAAGAGGAATAGAATAGAATTGAAATCTAGATTCTGTCTACAGATGTATTTCGGTTGCAGTTGTCATGTAGTTATGAGTCGGCTCACGAAGTTCAGACACTTACTATATTTAGCCGTAAAGTTAGGGTTCCGGTCACGAGGGGTATACAGTCGGGGACGGCTCGAAGAACGTCAGTTCTTCGAGTCGAGCCTGGAAGCGTTGGGAGCGTAGAGTGACTTTCCCTTTTGCGTCGACCTGGATTCTCCGAGTGTGGAGTGGGTTGGGCTTGACTCATGTTTGTGACGGTGACGGTTTGTTGCCAGTAGGGTAATTGACCGACGGGAATTCCAGTGGGGAATCTCTCGTCTATTTCACTCGAAGAACTCTCGACGTTTTTGTGTGTAACCGTTTTACGTTCCGTTCTGCCTCTTTGTGTTTTCGTCGGGTGTTTCTCTCTTTTGTGGTTTGTTTATACCTTTGGGCAATTTCTGTATTTGAAAGTCTGAGGAAATCAGGGTTTTAAATCGAGAAATCTGTGCAGAAAGATTCTTAGATTTGATGTTCGGAAGTAGTGATTTTGAAGATTGCGTCGGAGTCTGAAAACTGAAGTTTCGGGATAGCATTCAATTTTCGTTCGTGTGGCGTCGAAGGACAGTTGAAGATTATCGAACTACAGTTTGAGTGAGCATTAAGAGCCGGACAACGGATTGGAATTGAAAGAACGGGACGACGATTTCTCTCGGTGCTGATTGCTGTGCGGTTTTTGTGACTCCTCGGTGTCTTCCTTGAGAAGGGAAGGCCGTGAAGTCGCGCAGAATTTGACTTGCTGAAGAAAACAGATTTCGAATCTTACATCGAATGTTGCCGCGCACCCGGACGTCGCTCGCGTACAGCACGAGGGAGAGGGAGGAGGTCGAGGCTGCGTGCCCGGCTCAGCCTGAGAAACAGACGCCGCTTGTGGCCGCAGCAATTCTGGGGTATCTTGTCTCGTACTTCTCTTCTCGGTGAATGGCGGTTTCTATAATTATGTAAAAAGCTAGAATCGTCGATTTCCGTCCTATTTGCTTCTGGAGAGAAAGGATCAATTTTTTGGAGTAAAATTTCTTTCTACACCTTCAGTGTTCTTTCTGTCATAACCTGTTGAACACTCGGTCTTGAAATTTGACCATGTGCTCACTTTGAGGCAAGGTCCAATTTGGATGTGAGATTCGAAGGTTCTGATTGGCCAGAGCTGTAGAAATCACTTATCCTTTCGGTAGTGACTTGAGTGCTATGAAACACTCTATCTGAGCATTCAACAATAGTAGACATATGGGATCGAAAAACAGTTCGATGGACTTCATCTTCAATTGCCTACTAGTCACACTCAAGCAATTGGCATCTCTCCTCGAGGCCAGTCCTGGTAAAGTCACGTGGTCGGAGTTCAAGGAGACGAGCGTGCGTGGAAAGCAAAGATTCAAGAACTAAGATTGCGACTGGAGATAGAGAGATTTCGGCCAGCGATTGTGAAGAATAGGAATGCTTTTAGAGCACACGACACTGTGATATATAGAAATATGGTCAGTGGATTTTGAGCGGCTAGCTGCACGGGAAATTTGTGCACGCAGCGACTCCCGTGGCCTTCATAAATCATCTCGACGCGGTAGCAGGCTCTGATTTGGTAGAGAGTTGCCACAGCAAATCGTTAGCAATCGAATAAATTTCAAGTGCTGATTTGCGTGCAGAAAACTCGGAGATAATCCGCGCGAGTGAGTTAGTGTTCCTCCCCCCTCCGAGTGGCAGTGCTTGAGCGGCCGAGCCAGCCCCGATCGGCAGGGCAGGAAAGGTAGGGCCCGAGCGCAGTCCGGATGCTGAGTGGCAAGGGCAGGGCGGCTGTAATCTTTCCCCCACTCGCTTGCTCGTTGTAGTTGGATCGAGGGCATGTACAGCTAAAGTTGGGGTGCAGCGGAGGTGGTAGTCGGCCAAGCGGACCAATCGCGGTAAGCAAGAAATGGTGGTGGGAGGAGAACTACGTAAGGAGGGCTAACCGTGACAGAGTGTAACCACGTTTAACAAGGTGAACTGCAGTTGGCAGGTCAAAACATGCAGATCAACTATAGTCAGCATGGATTCGTTTGAAGTCAAGAGCGAAAAGAACACAAGGCTCTCCACGATCGAGAACAGGGAGTGTGGCATTTGAGGCAGAAAGCAAGCGGAAGGAAGTAAGTTTGTCAGTTAGAAGGTCGACTGCAACGGAGCACTGCCCCGAGGAGGAGTGGCTGCAGACCCTTTCCCTCCCGACCTTACTTGGCGTTTACAGCTCGGGTGTAAGAGCTGTGGTGTTTGGGATGAGCCCTGAGAAGGAAGGGAGAGGAGTGAGCGAACGAAAGTCCCCAGCGAACCGAAAGTCGGCTGGAGTGCTGTTGCAGCTGCTGTACTTGAGCCGGATGATGAGTCCAGTGGTCTTTTGTTGAAGTTTTCAGGGAAGCGGAAGAGCTTTCTCTCGAGGAGGAAAAGCGGAACTGGTTGGATTGCAGGGGAGGAGAGCGAAGGCTAGGACGGGGAGTGGAAAGGCATTGCAGTTCGGGAAGCATACTAGCGAGCAGCTGGATTTAATGAACGCCAAGCATACGGGGACCTTAGGAAGCGCTATGCTTGGCTCCGATGGGGATTTCCAGATTTAGTCCTCTACACATCTATTTCTGAATGCTCTGTCTTCCCTTCCGACCTGGCTATTTGAGTCAGCCATTGCGTCGCCCCCTGCAAGGAATTTCTAGGGATGGAATAGTTTGAGCACAAGGTTTGGCAATTATTTCCTGTGCTACGCATTTTAGAGTTGACTTTATATAGGTCTTAAAACTCTCTTCAGTTATCGTATCATTTTACTGTGGTAATTATACATCAGTATAATTTACAGTAAAAAGGTTACTGGTGATCCTGTAACACTTTGTGATAGTTTCTAGTTAAACTATTTTTAGTTTACAGATACTCTGTAAACAATCCTTGTACCCAGTGGAGTTTTGACTTGTGAAGAGAAAATGCCGCTTGATGACAACGTGGGAGACAGTTTACCAGAGATTCAGCCAGTGGAGGTCGTCAGCAGCGAGGAACGTGAGCAGGAAGTGACAGTGCAACCTCAAGTAGAAGGGAATCTGGTAAACACTATTGTGGTAGAAGAAAAAGATTCCGGGTTAGATTGGGACGAGGCACTAGCCGTGGAAAAACTTCTAGAGGAATCCGGCCTAGAGTACAGGGTATGTGAGGATGAGTTACTAGACCTTCCGCAGGATATTGCTGACCATTTGAGAGATGTTCAGTATGTTCAAGACTGTCTTTCAGAAGAAATTCTTGTACTAGAGAAATTTCTCGATAATCTTCCAAAGGATTGATAGCAACTACCTGTAGCGTTTAGACAAAAGGTACTGAAGGGATCGGGAGTTTGCACCCGGTCTCACTACCTGTAAACATAATGTTTTGAAAGCATTGTAAATATATATATGACGTAGTCAATATATTGAGCTTTCAAGGTGTAGTGTGTTTGTTGAGGGGCAGTGTGACTCCTGTGTGAAGGAGAAGGAGAAGGAGAAGAAAAGAAAAAAAAAAAAAAAAAAAAAAAAAAAAGAAGAAGTTTTCAAACAATTTTTGTTTGGATTTGGAGTAAGAGGGCATCATAGGCACTGGAGGCCCACGTAAATGGAGGGCGATGGAGATCGAATCGGGATCGCGAAGCGATGCGATGTCCCGTGTGTGTTGTCTTGTTTTGTGCTGTGTTTCCTTTAGACTGGAGAGTCGTTGCTAGCTGGTTGCTTGTGTTTGGATCCTCTCCAGTCTTGCTTCCTGGTGCGCGCCCGTGTAGGGGTGACGCTGATTTCCGGAGTTGTTTTACTCCTGTGTGCTGGCGATAGGGGGCTGGACTTGATCACCGGCCGGTCTATCTATGTTTCTCTCACGGAGAGACTGGAGTGATGACCAGTAGACCGTGAGAGTCTTCTTGCTGTGATGACAGGTTAGGTTGCCCATACCCCTTAGCTAGTAGGGCTAGAGTAACTTAGTGCGGCACGACGTCAGGGGCGGATTGGGTTATTGGGTGGAGATCTGGCAGTGGTGCCAGTTGAGGTCTCGTCATCACGGAGCAGTCTAGTGGTCCTGTTGAGGACCGCAGTGGATTTACGCGGAGTGGGTTGAGGTATCGGCTACCTTCACCTATTTCGCCAGTTGTTGCGGAGCAAGACCAGAGTGTTGCAGACAGAGAGTCTTTGGTGGTGATATCGTCTAGTGTTCCCACCCCATTG